GGCAGCAGCGTGCGGGGGAAGATGAGCAGCTGCCCGCCCAGCAGTGCGCGCGCCACACAACCACACCACGCATACATTGGGGCCCCTCCCCTCCCCTCCCCTGCCTCTTCCCCACGCAGGAGTCCACATCGCCGACGTCACCAACTTTGTGCACCCGGCCACCGCCATGGATGAGGAGGCCTCGGCCAGGTGGGGCGCCCGCCTGCCTGCCCTGGGTGCCGCCTGCCGGCGCCTGCCTTCACATGCAGGCGGGGAGAGTGGCAGCCAGCCACGCCGCGCACTCCCACCCCGGCGCAGATGGGGCAGCCAGCGCCTGCCGGACCACGGCGCCTCACTCTTGGTCTCACCTGTCTGCCCTTCCCTGCCATGCCTGCTCGGTCCCGCCTGCGCCGCCTTCCTCCCCGCAGAGCCACAACCGTGTACCTGGTGCAGCGGCGCATCGACATGCTGCCCAAGCCGCTCACGGAGGACATCTGCTCGCTGCGGTGAGCAAGGCCTGCAGCTTACAACAGAGCGCACACGCTTTGCACTGGCCTCCGCTCGGCCCACTGCCGGCATGGGTGCCACCAGGCGGCCGCAGCTGCTGCGCCTGCTCTCCTGGCTGCGTCCCTGTTGCCATGCAAAGCAAACATGCTGCTGCCTGCTATGCGTGCTGTGATCTGCAGTGCTGACGTGGAACGGCTCGCCTTCTCCGTCATCTGGGAGGTCACCCCCGAGGCTGAGGTGGGGTGCTGCTTGCGGCTTTGCCGCATGCGCCCGGGCCGCGCCACCGCACAGGGGCTCCCGCGTGCGCCCACCAGGCAGGCAGCAGAGGCCCGGGATGAATGGCATGACCCGGCCTCCTGCCATGCCCTGGCACAGCAGCCAGCGGCGCTTAAGTGGGCACGGTGAACGATCCCCTGATCCGTCGCTCAATCCACGCCGCAACACAACAGCACAACAACACCTAAACCCCATGCGCACCCACGAACCAACGCAGCAGCCATGCATACAAAACACCTTGATGCACAATCCTGGGCCCTGCGCCCCTGCTGCAATTGCAACACCCTTGCTCCGCCGCGCTGCTGCTACCCTGCTGCTGCCGCCCTCTGCCATGCCTTGGTGCCATACCGCTTGGTGCTGCGCCACTCCTGCTGCCGCAGGTTGTGTCCAGCCAGTTCACCAAGAGCGTGATCCGCAGCCGCGCGGCGCTGACGTACGCAGAGGCGCAGTCGCGCATCGACGATGCACGCCTGACGGATGAGCTGTCGGTGAGGCGGCTGGGCTGGGGGCGGCTGGGGTGGTGGTGGTTGAGGGTGTTGGTGTGCAGCACACACTGCGGCGGCGTGGAGGGTGGCGCTGCAGGTCTGCTGGAGGCTCAGTAGGGCCAGCGCCTGGCTGGGCTCTTTTGTTTTCACCAACGGCGCTGCCTCCTGCTTCCCCGCCCTGCCTGCACGCCCGCCTGCCCCAGATCAACCTGCGCACCCTGAACCAGCTGGCAAAGATCCTGCGCCAGAAGCGGGCAGACAGGGGCGCGCTGCAGGTGAGGTGCCCCGCGCCGCCGCCCCGCCGCCACTCCCCCCGACTCCACCCCTTCCGCTGCTGCCACTAGCCTCCTCCCTGCCCCTGCCCCTGCCCCCACCTCCCGTCTCCCTCCCACTTCCTGGCTCCCACCTCCCCTGCGTGTAACCCTATTCCCACCCTCCTCCCTCCCCTGCGTTGCCGCGCCCTCCCTGCGCAGCTGGCCAGCCCCGAGGTCAAGTTTGAGATCGACACAGAGACGCACGACCCGCTGGATGTGGGGATGTACCAGGTGGGGGGCTAGGGTGCACCATGTGACGGCGGTGTCGGTGTCGGTGGTGGTGGTGGCGGTGGTGGTGTTTGTGGCACAGTCGCTGTGTGCAGTGTGGTGGTGGCAGTGTGGTGGCGGCTCGCGCAGCGGGCCCGCTGCTGCCGGCTGCCCGCTCGGTTTCACCCGCCGGTTCGTGCCCGCCCATTCGCCTGCCTGCGTGCCCACCCCCCTGCCTGCCTGCCTGGGCGCAGGTGCGGGAGGCCAACCAGATGGTGGAGGAGATGATGCTTCTGGCCAACTGCACTGGTGGGTGGGGCTGGGGCAGCGGGATGGTGCGCACCGGGGCTCTGGGAGCCGCTCCTGGGGGCGGGCTGCCAGCCCTCGACCTGCCAAGCCGCGCTGGCCGGTCGTGACACTCGCTGGCCGGCCACGGCGCCAGCTTGCTGGCTGGCTGGCTTGCTCTCTTTGGCTTTCAGCCCCGCGCGCGCAGCTTGCGGCCTGCCTAACCGAAGCGCGCCCTTGCGAGCCGTGCACCCTTCCTGCAGTGGCCGAGTTCACGCTTCGCCACTTCCCGTCCTGCGCGCTGCTGCGGCGCCACCCCGTGCCGCCGCCCCGCCAGTTTGAGCCGCTGCTGCGGGCCGCGGCCGCTGCGGGCATCAGCATCGACCCATCCACCTCCAAGGCACGCAGGCTGGGCGGCGCCGCCACGCCAGCCCGCTGCCCGCCTCCCGCCTCCGACCCTGCCCGTGCGCCGGCGGCTGTGCCCGCTGGCCTCCCTCCCCTGCCTCTCCTCTCTTCTCACCCCCGCTGTCTCTCGCGGTCGCCAAATCTGTCAGTGTACCTCCCCTCATGCCACCGCCACACACACGACTCGCCGCCCCTGCCGCAAAACTCACTCCCCACCCCCCCACCCCACCCTACCCCTCCCCACCGCCCCACACCGCCACCTCGCAGTCCCTGGCAGAGTCCCTGGACCGAGCTGTGCGAGCAGACGACCCATACTTCAACAAGCTGATCCGCATCATGGCCACGCGCTGCATGACCACAGCGGTCTACCTGTCCAGCGGTGGGCTGCTCGCCTGCGCAGGGCCGCGAGGGGAGGGGGCAGGGGGTGTGGGCTCTTTGCGGGGCCTTGGGGAGGTTGCGAGGGGTGTGGGCGGGTGCCGGGTGCGGCGCGCGGAGCAAGGCCTGTCCAGCGGTTGCCGGCTGCTTGCATCGCGGGCTTGTCGGGGGACGGGCATGGCGAGCGGGGCCTCGAGCTGTTGGCGACCGTCTCCTCAACCGCCTGGGTGCCCGCAGGCGAGCTGTCGGCGCCCGAGTACCACCACTACGGCCTGGCAGCCCCGCTGTACACCCACTTCACCTCGCCCATCCGCCGGTGGGTTCCGGCACCAGGCCCCTGCCAGCTCCCAGCTGCGTGGCCTCCCCCGCCAGCTCCCCGGGCTGCTTGGCTCCCCCGCCTGCTCCCCGGCTGCTTGGCCCCTGCCCAGCTGCCCCTGCCCTGCGACGTCGCGGCCACGGCGGGTGTTTCCTGCTGCTGCCGCTCGCGCCCCGCCTGCCTGCGCGCTGCCCGGCCCCTGGCACCTTGACTGGACTCTTCACGAGCTGCACTTCCCCTCCCTCCCCTGGACCCCCACCCTCGCGCCCGCCCACGCAGCTACGCCGACGTGATTGTGCACCGCGTGCTGATGGCGGCGCTGGGGCTGCGCCCGCTGCCCGAGAGCCTGCGGGACCGAGAGCTGATGCACGGCGTGGTGGACAACCTGAATGTGCGGCACAGGTGAGGTGCTGCTGGGGCTGGGGTGGAGGCTGGGGCGTGGACAGGTGAGATGCCGGGCCGGGGCTGCAGGTTTGGGCGTGGCTGGGAGGCTGCAGGCAGGCACGGCTGCGGTGGAGGGCTTGGCTGGGCTTGGAGGGCTGGGCTGGCGGCGGCATCTTGGCAGGCAGGGATGAGCGGAGAGGAGGGGTCTCCACCTGCTGTTGCTGCGCGGAGTTGGCCTGGTGTGCACCGGCGTCGGCGGCGCCGCCCCTGAGCGCCTCTCCTCCTCATCGCTTCCCCCGGCCCTCCTGCTGCCGCCCGCAGGAACGCCCAGATGGCGGGGCGCGCCTCTGTGGAGCTCCACACCCTCATCTTCTTCCGCAGCCGCCAGGTGGTGGCGGACGCGCGCGTCACCAAGGCAAGCGCCACGCCGGCCCTGCGTTTGCCGCTGACACCGGCTGGGCGAGGGCTCCTCTCACGCATTCGCCTCCCCTCGTCCCTGTCTGCCAGCCCCTGCCTGTGCCTCGCGCCTGCCTGAAACTCCGTCACCGCATGTGCCGATGGGCTCAATGCAGGTGAGGGCCAATGGCCTCATCGTGTTTGTCCCCAAGTATGGAATTGAGGGCCCGGTGTACCTGGATGATGACGACGACGCGGCGGCGGCGGCGGCGGACGGCGGCGGCGGCGAGGGCCCCGGCAGCACCGCCAGCGGCGCCCACAGCGCCGGCGGCAGGCCGGGCCAGGGCAGGAAGGGAGGGGCCGCGGCCGCGGCAGATGGCAAGTATGTGTATGATGAGGAGCAGCAGACGGTGCGCAGCAGGGACGGCGCCACGCGGTACACCGTGTTTGACAAGTGCGCGGTGCGCATCTGCGTGGAGGAGGCGGCCGGCAACCGGCGCCAGCTGGTGCTGCGCCTGGTGCCGCGGAGCGAGCTGGCCGCCGCGGAGCAAATGCACTGATTGTCTCTGTGCTGGGGCACTGGATTGATGTGTGGTCGAGGCATTGCCAGTTTGGTAACAAGCCCAGGAATGAGCGTGGAGGCAGGCCCACAGGGCGGCTGCCGTGGTGGCCCTCGCCGGCAGCACCGCTCAAATGCACCGCCAGGTCAGCACCCGGTGTGCAGTGCCCAGCCAGGCATTTGCGCTAGTGCCCTGTCACGCCTCTCACGGCGTGTGCGCCAGCACGTTTGAATGCCGGACCTGCCCTGGCGCATACTTTGCTTCCTGCTGCCTTGCCCATCCGTCTGCTGTCTCTGCTGGTTGCCCCACTGCAAAGTGTTAAATACGTCGAGTGCAGCCAGGCAGAAGAAGTGCAGGGCAGCCTCATCCGTAGTTCAGCCTAAACAGGTCTGCGGCAATGCGGTGGGAGAGAGCAAGAGTGAGCGACACAGCAAACCTGCTCAGGTACGGCCTGAAGCAGGGCAGCAGCCCGACATACTTCCACGGCTTCACAGCATGCCCCGCCACATATCGCCACAGCTTCACAGCCAGCCCCGCCACGGCAGCCAGCCCGCCACGGCAGGTGTGCCCCCCCACACACACACACACCACCACCACCACCACCACACACACACACACACACACACAGCAAGCAGCCCAAAGCGCACCATTGGTCACCACAAAGGAGCCGCCCACGGGCGCAAGGTGGAAGGTCTGGCTAAACTTGAGCGGGTTGGTCTCGCCCTCCGGCTGCAAAAAGCCGGGGCGGTGGCTGGTGAGGGCAGTGGCAGGACACCGCGACTCGCGCAGGCTGATGCAGCCAGTGCACGAGCAGGTTGCCGGGGTTGCAGCGGCCAGGAAACTGCGGCCGGGCGGCGACCAGCACCGCGTACACGCCTGTCCCTGCTGCAGCCCTCTCACCAGCAGCTGCCCCGTCACAAACACAAGCACGCCGCCGCTCAGGCTGGGCTGCGCATCCAGCGAGGTAATGTGGTGCTTGCACTGCTGGAAAGGCAGCGAGGTCAGCTTGCCCAGGATCTGCAGGAAGAGTGTGGCAGCACGAGGGCACAGTGTGGGCGGGAGCAGCGGCAGGAGAGGGTGGGAGAAGCAGCCAAGCACCGCGAAGCACCGGCATTCAAATCAGCAGGCGAGCAACCGGACATCCAAAGATGCACGCAGCAACTGTGCCTCGTGCGTGCTCAGGGCAAAGCTGCTGGCAGAGCTGTGGACCAGCTCAAGCACCCGGCGTTGCCGCCAGCACGTTCGCTCGCCAACAACCGCCGCTGCAGCGCCCCCTGCAGCGGTCTTCTTCAGACTCCCCTAGCACTCGTGACCTCGCTGCAGACACACATGAACCCCTGCAGCTCACCGCCTGCGTGCCCTGGAACTTCTGGCCCTCAAAAGTCAGCATGCTCTGGTCCTGGTACAGGCCCGCAAGGTTGGCTCGCGCCGTGTCAAAGGTGGCGTAGTAGTGGTCGGTGAAGGCCTGCGGGGCGTGTGGCGTGGCTTTTGCTCGTGAGCACGACTGATCGCGCCGATCTCGAGCGGCCGAGCCATGCTGTACCGGCCCCTGCATCCGGCGCACGACCCGCACAGATTGGGCACTGCCCGTTGCTTGCTTGCCTTGGCCACCGCCTCTGGGTCTGCCATCGCGGCTGGCCGCTCTGCAGCTGCACGGTCACGCTCCTGCAGCACCGCCAAACACCAATCAGTGATTGGCTAGCTTTGGGAGGGTTTGGCGAGCTTTCCGCGCCATGGTTTGCATGCTGCGACTTTGGGGGAGGTAGAGCCCAGCTGGAGAGCGAGCGATGCCTCTCACCCGACACGCAATTGGTCACCAGCCCCTGACTGACCTGTCCTCTAGCGCACGATGCCCAGCCCGCCGTAAAACTTGCAGCGCTCCAGTCGGCAGCTAGCAGGGCGAGGGTGACTTGGAGGGGCAGTGCCGGATGGTACAGACGGGATATCACAAGGGCGGGGGCCGCTACTCGGCCCGGGCGGCCACTCGGCGCGGGCGAGAGGCAGCGGGCGAGGACGCCGCCTACCCCGCCGGCCGAGCGACGGTGCAGGCGGGTCTCCGCTCCTATGCCCTCAACAAGGCCGAGCAGCTGCGCTTTGCACACTGTGCCCCAGACTACCGAGAGGCGAGGTGAGGCCCTGCGGCCGGGTTGGGTCCACGGCGGTGCATGGTGATCGGTGCAGGGAAGGTCTCGGCATGGTGTCGCTGCATGGCCGCCGCCTTGCATCTGTTTCCGCCAGGCTGTCAGCGTCCAATGGGGACTGGCTGCCTGGTCGTGTGCTGCATGCACGGATCAGAGCCTCCAGGAGCAGACGCAGCATGGCTGAATCATCACTTCGGGCCCACCTCAGGGTGTCGTGCATCACCCCTCCCTCCCTCAACTCCAACCCCTTTTCCCCCTGCCTGCCCCGCTCCACTCCACAGAAACATCGTGCTGGGAAAGTGGGATGCAGACATCTCACGCTTTCTGACCGAAGAGGAGTGCCTGGGTGGGTGGCGTGGCCTGCTGTTGTCGCGCTGCCCGTGCCGCGCCGCCGCCGCCGCAACCGCCGCTCGCCACCGCTGCCGCGGTCAAGGTGCTCGCTGCTCACGCCTGTTGCTGGCTCAGCGCACTTTCTTCGCGCACACCCACCGGTCCGGGCACACCTGCTGCCTGGATGCCTGCAGCGGCGGCGCAGCCGGGCAAGGAGGGCATTGTGCGTGACGCCTACCGCTTCCTGCAGCGCCAGGGCGCCATCAATTTTGGCCTGCTGCGGGGCGACCCGCGCGTGCCGCTGCCGCCGGAGCTGGCGCGGCAGGTGGCCGCCGCCGCGGCCGCGGCGGCCGCCGCCGGCGGCGGGCAGGGCGAGGAGGGCGGCGGCGCCGGTCCTGGCGTGACTGACGAGCAGGTGGCGGAGACTCTGTTTGACATCATGGGAGCGGTAGACATGACGGTGCGGTGGCGGCCCCGTCTGCCTGGCTGGGGACATCCCCTTGTTGTTGCCAGCGGGGGCCGAGCGCCAGCCGAGCACTGTGGATTGCCGGCGGGCCGCCGGCGGCGGCGCCGATGGGCAGCCCGCGCCCGATCCGCATTCGCCCTGCAGCGCCGTAGAACGCAGCCGCCCGCCTCGCCCTGCGCCTCCACCCGGTGCCTCTCCCTCTCCCGCTGCCTCTTGCCCCCTGCAGCTCACCACCGAGAAGATGCTGCGGCGGCAGGTGGGGGAGGCGCTGGGCGCAGACATGTCTGAGCGCAAGGGCCAGATCCGGGGCTTGGTTACAGAGTACCTGCAGAGCCAGGGCCCACCCGCCTGGTACCGGCAGCGCAAGAAGGAGGCGGCGCGGCGGCGGCGCACGGAGGCTGCGCGACGCCGCTGGCGCGTGGTGGTGGTCGGCGCGGGACCCGCCGGCCTCACCGCCGCGCTGCACCTCAAGGCGAGCCGGCAGCCGCTGCATGCTCGTGATCGTGCCGGCCACGGCCGAGCTGGCACCCCGCCGCCGCACTGCCGCGTGGCGGCTTCCACAATGGATTGATCTGCTGCTAGCCTGCCGCCTGGTGGCCTCAGAGAGCCTCAAACGCAGTCCTCCCCACGAGGGCGGGCAGCGCTAGGCTCCCGCCGCAGCCTGCACCTGGACCGCTGAGCGCGTGCCGCGCCACGGCCTCCCTCCTCGCTCCTTTCTCCCTCCCTCTCTGCAGCGCAACGGCGCCGACGTGGTTGTGCTGGAGGCGCGGGACCGCGTTGGCGGCCGCGTGCACTCCTACCAGCAGGCCGGCTTCACTGCCCCCGTAGACCTGGGTGCGCGCGCAGCTGGCGCATGCTCACAGCCGGGTTGGCAGCTCGGCCGCGCTGCCAAGCCACCGACCTGGTGCGCCCTGCCGGCGCTCCTGGCCCTGCCACCCCACCCCACCACCGCCACCCCTCCCCTTTGCTGCCGGCGCCCATGCAGGCGCCTCCATCATCACCGGCATCAACCCCGATGTGGAGAAGGGGCTGCGCTCAGACCCCTCAGCCGTCATCTGCAAGTGAGGCGGCGCAGGCGGCAGCCCTCTCACTGCATGCGCCGGCCCACGCGCTGCGCTGCGCTGTGCTGCGCCGTGCTGTGCTGTGCTGTGCTGTGCTGTGCTGCGCCGTGCTGTCCTATGCTATGCTGTGGCGGCACCTGTGCCGTGCCCCGCTGCACCACACGGCGCGCCCTCGCTTCACGCCCTCGCCTCGCCGGGCTGCCTGGGTGCGTGTGTTGTGCCTGCAGGCAGCTGGGCATCCAGCTTCATGAGCTGGGGGAGAAGCTGCCGCTGCTGGACACAGCCACGGGCCAGGCGGTACCTGCAGAGCTGGACCAAGCGGTTGAGAGGTGAGCGGGGACGCACCGAGGGGTCCGTGGCAGCCCTCGTGGCAGTGGCTGCCGGCCAGCCGTCGTGCCAGCGGCGCCTGCATGCCGGCTGCGGGGCCGCTGGCTTGCGCCCGTGCTGTGCTTGCTTTGCCGTGATGTGCTGCGCTGTGCCTGCTGTGGTCGCGACAGGCTGCGAGACGAGCTCATGGATGATGTGGCGGATGCGCTGGACGAGCTGCCGGAGGAGGAGCGCCTGGCACTGTCCTATGGCCAGCTGCTCACAAAGGCCATCCAGCAGCGGCAGGCGGCGGCAGACGCGGCCGAGGCGCCCGCGCAGGCAGCACCAGAGGCAGCAGCAGAGGCAGAGAATGCTGGGCCCGCCGCGGCCGCACAACCTGCCAGCCAGCCAGGCGGCGACGGCACGGCGGCGGCGGCGGCGGCCGCGGAGTCGGCAGCGGCGCTGCAGCCTGCCTCTGCGCCAGACACAGATCTGGAGCACGCCGTGGCGATGCTGATCGAGCCTGCGGCGCCGCCACCCAGTTCGGACGGCGCCGGCCTGGGTTCGGAGCTGCCCGGCTCTCTCGGCCTCGGGCTGATGGATGATTTCCTGCTCGGCGCCGCGGCGGGCCCGCCTTCGGCCGCGGCGGGACAGCAGGACGACGTGGACGACTTCCTTGCCTCCGTGCTGGCCTCGCCCTCCCCCAAGAAGCTGCAGCCGCTGCCGCCGGCGCCGGCGCCGGCGCCCCCCGCGGCCACGGAGCCGGCAGCGGCCGCAGAGCCGGCAGCGGCACCAGAGGAGCCGGCAGCGGCACCAAAGCCGGCAGCGGCACCGGAGCCGGCGAGCGACGCGCCTGCAGCGGCCAACGGCGTTGCTGAGCCCGCCGCCGCGCCGCCCCCGGCAGACGCGGCCGCGGCAGAGGCCGCGCCCGCCGCCGGCGAGCCGGCCGCCGCGGAGGCGGCGCCTGCAGCCGAGGCGGAGGATGCGGGGCCTGCGGCGGCAGACGGGGAGGAGGCTGTGCCACCACCGCTGCCCATCACACCTGACCAGCGCCGCCTGCTGCACTGGCACTGGGCCAACCTGGAGTATGGCTGCAGCGCTCGCCTGGAGGAGGTGCGGCCCCCGGAGTGCCTCCCGCTGCTGTTGCACACCCCCGCTGCTGTTGCACACCCCTCACACTGCTCCCTGAGCAAAGCGCAGCCGCTGGCTCAGGGAGCTGGCTCAGGGAGCTGGCTACCGCTGATTCGCTGGTTCTATAGAATGCCCTGCCCAGGCCCCCCAAGGCCTCCCACGCCTGTGCCGCCTGCCCCCGTCTGGCCTGCCGCCATCTGCACCCCTGCCCTGGCCTCCCACGCCTGTGCCGCCTGCCCCCGTCTGGCCTCCCGCCACCTACACCCCTGCCCCTGCTGCCGCCGCCGCCGCCGCCGCCGCCGCAGATCTCGGCTCCCCACTGGAACCAGGACGAGGATGCGGGCGGGTTTGGCGGTGCGCACTGCATGGTGGTGGGCGGGTACGATGCCGTGTTCAAGGCGCTGGGCGGCGCGCTGGGCGACGCCCTGCACCTCGCCACGCCCGTTGTCGAGGTAGGCGGCTGCGTGGCTGCGCCCCTGTGTGGCGGGCGGGTGTGGTGCGGTGGCGGCCGGCCCGCAGGGCGCGGCTCCGGCGTGCTCGTCTCCCTGCCGCGTGCCTCGCCGTGCATGCATCTGATGCGCATCTGATGTTCAAACGGCGTCCCCGCCTGCCTGCCTGCCTGCCTGCCCGCCCTGCCCTGCCTGCCCTGGCGCAGATCCGAGACGAGGGCGAGGGCGGGGTGGAGGTGGTGACGGCGGGCGGTGCCACCCACGCGTGCGACGCGGTGGTGGTGACGGTACCGCTGGGTGTGCTCAAGGCGGGGGGCATCCGCTTTGTGCCAGACCTGCCGCCCTGGAAGCAGGAGGCGGTGCGCAAGATGGGCTTTGGCGATCTGAACAAGGTGCGGCGGCGGCTCCCGGGGGTGTGGTGGCTGGAGGGCTGGGGAGCGGTGGCTGGGTGTGCAGGCAGGCCCGCAGGCAGGCGGCAGGCGGGCGGGCAGGCCGGCAGCCCACCCTGCCCTGCAGCCGGAGCTCCTGCGCCCTACCCTTACGGGTGGCTCATATCCACCCACGGTCCATACCCAACCGCGTGTCCCGCCCCGCCTCCCCCCTGCGTCCAGGTGGTGCTGGAGTTCCCCTCTGTGTTCTGGGATGATTCAGTAGACTACTTTGGGGCGGCGGGGGAGCCCACAAGTGAGGCGGGGGTGGTGTGTGTGCATGTGGTGCGCGTGTGTGGTGGTGGTGGCACATGTGTGAAGGGGAAGGCCAAGGCATGGCAGGAGCCTTGCTCAAAAGTGCTGCTCGAACAGCAAGCCCAGGTCCTCACCCTGCCTGCTCAACCCTCCGCCTGCCTGCCCGCCTGCCTACCTGCCTGCCTGCCTTTGCCCTGCACCGCAGGCGAGGCGCGCGGGCGGTGCTTCATGTTCTGGAACTTCCACCGCTTCAGCGGGGCGCCCACCCTGGCGGCGCTGGTCTCGGGTGGGCGGCAGCAGCTGCTGGGCCGGGAGGCTTGCGCTCGGCGGGACGGGATGTGCGCGGGCGTTGTGTGTGTGTTTGTGTGTGTGTGGTGCCTGCTGCAGCCAGCGTGTGTGTGTTTGTGTTCTCTGTAGCGCCTGCCCCAACGAGCCCAGTGGCCACCCATGCCCACCTGACCGCGCATGCACTCCCGCCACGCCATGCCTCGGTGCTGCAGGCGCCGCCGCGCGGGCGGCGGAGGAGCAGCCGGCCGAGGAGCTGCGGGATGCGTGCCTGGGGGTGCTGCGCCGGCTGCACCCGGGCCTGGAGCTGCCCGCCCCCACCGCCTACACCGCCACCAAGTGGGCCTCAGGCAAGAAAGAAAGACGGGTAGAAAGATAGAAATCATCAGCTGCTCCGCCTCGCCCATCTGCCTGCCCGGAAGCCACAGGCGGGATGGCGGAAGCTTCCACACCAGGGGGCTGCAGTGGGGTGGAGCGGCGCTACCACCTACAGTGTACCTGCTCACCTACCCCACTTCACATGAGCATCAACCGCCGACGACTCATGAGCCTGTACTGCCTGTGCCGCCCGCCCTGCCCCTGCAGAGCAGTACACGCGTGGCAGCTACTCGTTTGTTGCGGTGGGCGCTTCTGGGCAGCACTACGACCAGCTGATGCAGCCGGTGAGCGCCTGTACTGCCTGCCCACCGGCAGTACCATCACCCCGTCCTGCCACTTGCATCCGCTGTCGCTGCTGCCTCTCATCTGCCTTCCCTCCTGCACGTGCTTGCTTCAGCGGGCGGCTGGCTCTTGCTCTCGGTGTGGAGCATCGCCGCCAAGCGCTCACGCCTGCCTGCCTGCCTGCCTGCTTGCTTGCCTGCCTTCCTGCCAGGTGGGCCGGCGGCTGCTGTTTGCCGGCGAGCACACGGCACGGGAGCACCCGGACACGGTGGGAGGCGCGATGCTGTCGGGGCTGCGCGAGGCGGCCCGCCTGCTGGATATGGCGGAAGAGGAGGAGCAGGAGGAGGGGCAGCGCGGGCGGCAGGGCGCTCCGGAGATAGAGAAGGTGGGCACGTGGGGTGTGTGGAAGGCGGGGAGGGAGATGGATGCGGAGCGGAGGGCTGCGGGATGGCCGACAGGCAGGCAGGCGGTGCACGCTGGCTGGGGACCTCGCCTCGCCCCCATGCTGCTGCTGCTGCTGACGCCCTATGCCTGCGCACGCACCCGCCCCGCTTCCCTCGCCTGCCCCAGATGACCAGCCTGGGCAGCCTGGGGCGCAAGCGCAAGTCGAGCGCGCAGGAGGCGGCGGCGGCGGCGGGCGGCGAGGCGGATGAGGAGGACTGGGGGGACGCGCGCCCGCACAAGGGTGTGTTTGCTGTGCTGCCGTGAAGCTCTTCTGTGCCGCGGGGCACGCATTTCCTGCAGCGCTCCCAGCAGGCTGTGGCGCCTGTGCCATGCTGGGCCGACCACAGCGTGCAGTCACACTGCATGCCTGGTTCGTTGGCCCGAAGTGCCGGCACGCCGTTCTGCCTGCCTGCAGGGGCCGGCCGCGACCGCGGCGCACAGGCCAAGCGGCCGCGGTCCGCCAGCAAGTCAGAGGCGGCAGAGCCTGCAGGAGGTGCGGCAGCCAGCGGCAGCAGCAGCAGCAGCCAGGCATGGCGCCTCTGTTCTCGGCGCGGGGCCCGCATCCTGGCTTGCTTCCCTGCTGCTCACGCATGATGCCTGCACCATGCATCGACACCCACCGCCCCCCTTCCCCTCTTCCCTGCCCAGCAGATGGCGGCCAGGCCAGCATCTGGCGCTTCATCCGGCAGAGCGAGATTGGGCAGGAGCTTGACTGGGCGGGCGAGGAGGAGGAGGAGGCGGAGCGGCGGGAGGCGCGCGCGCGGCAGCAGCAGCAGAAGAAGCGCAAGAAGCGGGACGACGGTGGGGCGGCAGCTGCCGCGCCGCTGTACCGCTGCCGCGCCTGGCCTGCACCAGATGTGCTGCTGGCGGCTGCGCCTGATGGCACAGCCTGGCGCTAGACCGGGGATGCCGGCAGGTGGCCATGTGCTGACGTGGCACCGATGCTGACGTGGCACCAATGCTGACCTGGCACGTGCAGACGAGGTGGCCAGCGAGGATGACCTGGAGCGCAAGATGGAGCGGGATCTGGCCATCACGATGGGCAAGGAGAAGCAGTGGGTGTCCGAGAAGCAGGTGCGCTGCTGCGCAGCGAGTGCGCAGCGAGTCTGTGCTGTGGGTTGTGGTGGTGGTGGTGCTGGCGTGCGTGCGGTGGAGGGCAGCTGTGTTCTGCGCTTGGCTGCTGGGTTTGCGAGGGCAGCGCAAGAGGCTGCCCCCCCTGCCGGCCACACCATGCTGGGGTGCACATGGACGGTGTGACACGCCTGCGGCGACAGGCACTCGTGCCTGCTGCCCACCGGCAAGTGCCCCGCCACCCCTGCGCTCCCTCCTGCAGCTGCGGGAGCAGCGCAGCAGCGGCAAGGAGATTGCGCGGGCGGTGATGATGTGTGCGATGGGTGAGGGGCGGTGCCCACCGGCTTGCCGGAACTTTAGGCAGCGGCGCGTGTCGGCCTGCGCAGCTGCAGAGCTTTGCCCTGCAAGCCGCTGCTAGCACCATCTGCCAGATCCACACGCACACCGCCTGCCTGCAGGCGAGCTGGGCCCGCTGCGGGAGCTGATCCAGAAGGCGGAGCCCGGCAGCCGCCACTTTGTGCTCATGGTGAGCGAGCCGCGCGCTGCGGCCCTGTCGACCTGTCAGGTCCAGCCTGGCGCCGTTCGCTGGGGTGGTTGTTTGAGTCCCCGCCTGCCTGCCTGCCTGCCTGCCGCAGCAACTGCGGCAAGCGGATCGCAAGACTTGGGAGCTGCTGTCGGCGGATGCTGGCTGCATGGCTGCTATTGCGGGGTGAGGAGCTGCATGGCCGGCTATGGCCGGAGGTGGCTGTGCGTGCCAGCTGCACGCCTGCCGAATGCACGGCCTGCTCATGATCTCGGCCGCTGGCCTTGACTCCCAGCCTGCCTGCCTGCCTGCCTGCCTGTCATTGCAGATGGGTGGAGGAGGCGGCGGGGGAGGGAGGGGAGGGGCACATACTGGATGCCGCGCTGCGCCTGCTGCGCCTCATGCCTTTTGAAGCGCCGCTGCTGGAGTCGTCGGGTGCGCCCTCAGCCAGCCAGCTGCGGCGGCAGCTGCATGCTGCCGCCGCAGCTGCCGCAGCCGGCGGGGGCCTGCGCGCGCCACAAACCCTCATCCTCCCGCCCTGTGTGTGCCTGCACGAGCCGGTCCGTCCTTTTCTTGCCTTGCGCCGGCTGGCCGCTGGCCTCCCATCCTCCCCTGCCCGGCCCTGCCACCGCCTCCTGCAGGCCTGCTGCTCATCGTGAAGACACGATGCGCCTCACACTCTGACACCGACCTACGCAAGCTCTCCCAGGAGCTCCTCAAGAGGTGGCAGCCGCCAGGCGAGGCGGGCGCGGGCCAGAACGGGTCGGCGGCGCGGGCGGGCGGCGCGCCGGGCGGCAGCGCCTCGCGCCCGCAGGCGTCAGCGGCGGCGCAGCCGCGGCCGCCTACCCCCACCGCCGACGAGATGGAGGCGTACCTTGATGCCGCCAAGGTGGCTGCGCTGGCTGAGCTGGAGCGCGCGGCCCAGGAGGCGGCAGAGCAGGCCGACGCGCTCAAGGCGTCGCTGGCGTCGCTGGCAGAGCAGCAGGCAGTGGCGGGCGAGGCGCCAGACAGGATAAAGTCGTTCCACGTGAGCCCGCAGCCGCCAGCTGCCCGCGCAGGCCTGCCGCCGCTTGCTGGTAGAGCGGGTGGCAGCCCTGCCGCTGGCGCTGCCTCGGCCGCCTGGCTGTGTGCAGGCGGAATGCTCATCGCTACCAGGCTTGCCCACCAATCCTGTTCTTGTTCTGGGCTGCTCTTGCCCGGGCCCCGCTGCAGTATGGCAAGGCAGAGAGGCAGAAGCCCAAGACGAAGCTGGAGCGGGTGCCCAAGCCAGACCGCCCCAGCAGCAGCCGCGGCGGCGGCTCCGGCGGAGGCGCCTCGGGTGCGCCTTGCATTGCACATGCGAGCATGCATGCAGCTGCTCGAGGCCCGCATGTTCAGCCGCCCTCTCCATCGCACCATTCTTGCTGCCAGGGGTCCTAGCTGCCATCTTTTGTGCCGCCTGGCCGTGTTGACCCCTGCCCCCTGGACCCTCCCTCCCTCTGCCAACACATGCAGACAGCGCCACCAGGCAGGCTGTGGCCAAGTATGTGGAGGGCCTGCTGCACCCGCTGTTTGAGCAGCAGAAGATCACCAAGGAGGAGTTCAAGTGAGGGGCAGCGGGGGAGTGGGTGGCGGACACGTGTAGGAGCATGGCGCCTGCGCCTGCGGCCATGCCTGCGCCTGCCTGGGATGCCCGCCCAAGCGCCGCGGCCCTCCCAGGGTGCATGGGACGCCGGTGCCTGTTGGGCAGCAGACTGCACGGGCACCGGGGGCAGTGCACCAGCGCCAGGCGGGGCTGGCCCATGGCACCGTGCCCGACCCATGCCTCCCTTTCCCACCCTGCTTCTGCCTGCGCGCAGGTGGGCGGCCAAGAAGGCGGTGAGCAAGGTGCTCAAGGACAGCGGCGCAACCGGCGGCAGAGAGGTGCGCGGTGTGCGCGGGGCAGAGCTCCACCCTGTCCCCCACACACGACACACCACGGCCGACGACGCTGCGCCTCCCCTCTGCCTCCTCCTGGCCCGCAGTTTCTGACCCCCAAGAAGCGGGGAGACATCAAGGCGCTGGTGGGCAAGTATGTGGAGCGCAGGGGGGAGCTGATGGCGGCGGAGCAGCAGCAGCAGCAGCAGCGCGGCGCGCGGCGGTAGCATGCGGGCGGCGGCGGCAGGCGGCGGCGGCTGCAGCGGCGGGCCGCGAGCAGCTGGAGCAGCAGGCATGGCCACGGGCTGCGCGTCGTGCTGCGGCTGGGCCCGCTGGGACTGCTGGGCGTCGTCGCCGACTGATTTAAAATATTGCAAATGGATGTAATGTGTATCGGTACAACCGAAGTGTAGGGCAGCCGATGGTCGGGGCAGCAGTATGCGGCAGGACCAAGCACAGGGGCCACGCGGCAATGCGGCCGCCTGCTGTGGCAGCAACAGAAGAATACGCAGTGAGGAGGGCAGTGTCTTGATGGGCATGCTCTCGGCGGCAGCAGCGATATCCCGCCTGGTTGGGTCGCCTCACTCGATGCCAATCTCCTCGATGTCGCGCAGCCCCTTGTTGAAGCACTGCAGCTGCTGCTCCTTGGTCATGCCGATGCGCCCCCGCCACCAGCTGCGCAGGCTGTAGTCGCCGGGGGCGCCGCTGGGGGCCTGCATGCAGGCGTCAGGCGAGGGGCCAGGCACGCATGCGGGGCTGGGGCTGGGAGGGGCCTGGCGGGGGCTGGGGGGACGTGGTCACCTCAGGAAAGCGCGGCAGCGCTTATGCCGCCTTGCATATACATCAGGCAAGGGCGGGACCGCGGGTGGGCACCGGGCGGCCCGCCCGCCTCTGCATCGCCCCACCGCCCCACGGCCAGCCCACCGCCACTCGCACGCGCCACACACGTGCACACCACACACAAGCACACCCACCCCTGGGGCCCACTCGCCCGGCCACCTTGCAGTTGAGCAGCGCGTCCAGGAACGCGGCGGCGTTGTCGGCCCGCACCCCGCCAAACCAGTCGCCGTGGTACAGCTTGCCGTGGCTGAACACAATCACGTTGCCGGCATACTGCGGGTGCGCGGGCAGGCGGGCAGGCAGGGGGGCCCAGCAGATGAGGGAGAGAGGACAGGAAGGAGAGGGCCGGGCCCTGGGGCACAGCAGGGCGTGCTTCCGCGCTTGAGAAGCAGGGTGCAGCGGTGCATGCCGGCAGGGCAGCACTGTGGCTGCTTCCCCCGGCCCGCCAGCCTGCCCGTCAGCCCCTGCGACAGCTCACCACATGCCCGCCGATGTGGCTGGTCTTCAGCACTGTGATGCCGCCCTCCAGCCCCTTCCTCCCCACCGCCTCGGCCAGCTTCTCGGCCAGCGGCGGCCCCACGTGGCCGCACCGCTTGTCCCGCGACCCGTGGCAGCACACAAACAGCGTGGAGCCGGCGACGCGGGCCCCCGGCCCCGCCCCCGCCTGCTGCTCCGCCGTGGGCCCCGTGCCGCCGCCGGTGCGCCGGAAGGTAGCGGCTGCCAGCAAGTCGACGACGGTGGAGGGCAGGGTGTCCAAGGGCAGGGCCTGGAAGAAAGCGCCGTCGGGAAAGATGTAGACGTCGCACGTGCCGGCCGCCTGCTCCGCGGGCTGCAGGTAGTCAAAGGCGGTCACCTTGACCTTGCCGTGGATGCGCTCCCCGGCGTCCTTGATGGCGCCAAGCAGCGATGCGATGGCGGGCGTCCTGCGCAAGGCGGGGGGGTATAACACTTCAGCTCGTTGCGTTGGCGGCGCCCAGCTGGCGGGCGGTGGGCGGTGGTGGGTTGGGCAGGGCAGCCAGGCCAGCTTGCAGCGACAAGAGGCACATTCCGCTCTTGCGCGCCGCACTCACTCGTCCTCCATACGCTCCGGCCACCAGGCCTCCCCTGCCGCCGCGGGGTCTGTGCCGGCCGGCGGTGGCAGCTTCACAAACACGTGATACGCATGTGGGTTAACGCTGCCTGCCTCTGCCTGGCTGCATTTCGACAGAACGGCTGGGTCACAACCCGCGCAGGGCTCAGACGCACCCGCTCCAAACACCTTTTTCAGCGTGCCCAGCATGTCGGGAGCCGCTGCCAGAATTAGAGATCAAAGCACTTGAGCACGGGGTGGCCAACTGGCACCGCTGCGCTGCGCCTGCTGGGGCGGCCCACGCCACTGCATGGCAGCAGTCCCAGTTGTGCAGGGGACGGATGGGAAAGGAAACCGAGGGTAGGGATGACATGGAACAGCAGAAGGGGCTGGTCCAATGCCTACGTGACTGTTCAGCCACAGGTTTGTCGTGGCGCCAGGGTGGGGGTCGAGTGCAGGGATCCTGGCTGAGGCTGGGGACGACCGGAAGCAGCCTAGCTAGCGCGGGCCAAAGCAGGCTGCTGTCGGCTGATGGTGATCTGATGAGCCTGCCATTACGCTGGTCATAGTTGACTTGCCAGTGCGTTACATGTGCTCATCATACCGTGCAAATCCACGTCATGACGCGTCCCCAGCAACTGCTGCTGCCGCCGCTGCTGCTGCTAGCTGCTCTTGCTGCTGCTCTTGCTGCTGCTCCCCTGCCGCTGCTGCCTCGCCACCTGCAGCTGGCTCCTCATCTGCAGCAGCATGGCAGTGGCAGGCGCATATGGCTTGCGCTCCGCACGGCTGCACACAGTGCTAGCTCCACAGCAGCACTGCTGGCGAGGCAATGCGGGCTGCCTGGCAGAGGAACAGCGCCGCCAGCAGCTGAGAGACACTGCCAGCACACTCCACCCACCTGCTGCCCCCACCGCCTTGCGCTTCTTTCCAGCTTCGCCGCGCTTCTTGGACTTGTCCTTTGCCTCCGCCTTGTAGGCTGCAGGGCACGCACGGGGTGCAAAGGTGGTCAGGCTAGGCGTGATTGAGGTGTTCAGGCAGAGCAGCAGCAGCATCGGGCAGGCCTGCGCATCGACAGCACCTGCTCGCACCAGCAGCGTCGTCAAGGCTTGCAACAGCACAGGCTCACCCCCGCGGCTCATGTCGCCGCGGGGGGAAGCCCAGCACGCATTACAGGCAGCCGCGTGCACACACACTCTCTCGCTCTGAACATGAAACCCTCCCTGGTGCCCCCTCGCTCACCCTCCAGCGCCGACCTGAGCGGCTCCACCAGCTCCCCAAAGTCAAGGTCCTCCAGCGCGGTCAGCACATCGTCAGCCGAGATGGTCTGGCGCTTGGCGTCCTTGCAAGCGTCATTGGCGGTGGCGGTGAGGTAATGGATAAACAGCCTGCCCGCCTCGGCGCACGCCAGCAGCGCGTCCTGCAGGGGGGTGGGGAGGTGGCTGGCAGCGCGTGGGCGGCCTGGGGCGAGCAGCCGCGCGGCAGCCGGCCAGGGACGCGCAACCGGCGCCACCAGCGGGCCCACCCTGCAGCGCGCCTGCTGCGGCGCACACACCTTGTTGACTTGGAAGTCGCGCTTGCCGTCGCCGCCTGCCGCCACGTCCCACTGCGACAGCCCCGCCTTGATGACGCGCTTCAGTAGCGCCTTTGGCAGCTCCGCGTCGCCCTCGCCGCCGCCGGCCTCGGCGGACTTGGAGGGGGGGGGCAGCGCGGCAGCCTCTGCTGCCGACATCGCAACCTGCGTGGACTTCTCTGCAAGGGCGGGAAGGCCTAGCGAGCAGCCGTGAGGCCAGCATTCGGCGATCACCAGGTGTGCAGGCAGGGCGTCTGCAGGCGATGCAGGCCGAATGACTCGAGCCTGATCTCAGTTCCCAGCAATGCAGCGAGGCGGGCAGTGCACCTCGACTCAAACTCGAAAGTCAGGCTGCTCAAGCGGAGCCTGGCGTTGGGCAAGGCTTTTGGAGGTGATCAGGCTGGGCACCGGCACCAGGGCTGGCGATGCAAACAAGCGCAGGAGGCAGGCACGCGCAAGTACACATGACTGAGGCAGTACTCAGGTGCTGAGCGAGATCGGGGGAGGAATTGGCGGCTTGTGTATCGCAGCAGACATTGCTGCTGGCAGTCCTCCGGATTGCTGTGCAGATGGCGCGGTGATCGCTGAGAAGTGTCTCTCTTTGCTTCCAAGCTTGCACTGGTCTCCTGTTGTGCAGTCCCTGCAGCGGCAGTGGTGCTTCGATGCGCTGATCAGAACCCGTGACGCGCTGCTGTGCAGCGTGAGCAATGGCCGGGGAGCAGCAAGCCCTCAGCAGCCTGCAGCTGGTGGCGTTCCGCGATGTGCTGGATAATGTGGTGCAGCAGGCGCATGCCGAACTGCAGCAGCTCGCGGAGCGGCTGCCAGCCGTGGGAGACGAGGAGCGGTGGGTCTGCTGCTGGCTCTCCTGCCTGCCTTGCTGCCGCCCAGCACCGATGCTGCGACGTGCTGCACCCAAAGGCAGTTCCTCTGCGCCACACCGCCTGCGCCGCCGCCGCCGCCGCTTGCGTCTGGTTCTCCCGCCAACGCTGCCGCCACCCTGCCTGCCCCTTCCTGCCCCGTCGTTGCAGCAAGCGCCAGCTGCTGCAGCACCTGCAGACCACGCGGCAGCGGCTGCAACGCCTGCACGTGTGCGCGCAGTGGGCGCACAAGGCAAAGGCGGTCAACACGTGCCGGGAGGTTCTCAAGGCGTCACAGGACCATGGCGCAGCCTTTGTGCACGCGGGTGGGTGCTGCCGCCTGGTGCCAACGCTGCGCCTCACGATTGTTTTCAAGTTTTGAACAGCAATGCTGAGGCCTTGAAGGGTGCTGCCGCTGCTCGCTGCCGCTGCTGTGGACGCCGCTGGGGCATCCATCATGGCGAGCCACCGGCTAGCATTCATGATCAGCCTCCGCTCCCTCCTGCAGCCGACGAGCTGTTCCGGCTGAACGAGGAGCTCCGCTTCTGCCGGGCCCCGCTGTTTGACGTCAGCTTCGCGCTGCACATCATGCAGACAGGTAAGAAGCTGGTGGGCAGGCAGGCAGGGGCCTGGGTGCACACCCCTGGGGGCACAGCTGCCGAGGAGCGCACGGAACTCTCGCCCATTGCTGCATGTCTAAAGCACATCTTCTGCTGCAGGCACCTACCGCCTGCTGCCCAGTGTTATTGAAGATGAGCTGCAGCAGCCGGGGCAGCGGCTGGAGCGGCCCGGCGAGGTGGATGAGGCGCGGCGCGGCCAGCAGCGGCGCGATGCCCTGCGCCGCCTCGACTTCCTGCTCCGCTCCAAGCTGCTGGCGGTGGGTGGCAGGGGCTGGGATTGCAGTGAGCTGCCGCGCTGCTGGTGCCGGCAGAGAGCAGGGTGCAGCTCCTGGCGAGACAGGGAGGGGAGGCTGGCATCCAAGGAGGCGGCGAATGGCAGGTGCCCAAGGCGCCTGCTTGATGCCCTCCTGCTTCGCTGCCTGCAGAGCGAGCTGCCGGCTGGCATGCGGGTGCTGCGGGTGCGCGGCGGCCAAGCCTGGGTGGCAGGCGGTGGCGGGCAGTACAAGGCGCAGCTGACGCTTGTACCTGCGCCGCGCGACGACGTGACGCTGGCAAAGTATCGGCCGCCAGGCGAGGCCGAGGAGGCTGAAGGCAAGCATGTACTTGAGGCTACCTTCCGACACACTCTTCTTGCCTCAGTGCCATGGTGGCATTTTGATCAGCCATCGTTGTTGTGCTGCGTCTCTGCGGTGGCGCCGGTCCATGCTCCAAGCCGGCTGGCTGACGGTTCGCTGCTGCGCCGCTGTCCGGTATGCTGCTGCAGGTGCTATCAAAGAGGAGCCTGAGGTGGCGAAGCCGGCAGGGGCCACAGGAGGAGAAGGAGGAGGAGCAGCAGCAGCAAGCGGCCAGCCGTCTTCCAGCACAGCCGCCGCACAGCAGGCAGCACTGACAGATGGTGGAGCGGTGGAGCAGCGGCAGGGCACGGCGGGCTGGCGGTGGCAGCTGCTCTCTTTTGAGCTGCTGCCGGCAGCGGCAGGGCGTGACCCGCCGCCGCTGCTGCCGCAGCAGCGGCAGTGGCTGCAGCAGCACATCGAGCAGCGCATGTGGGTGGCAGGCGATGTGGAGCAGCTGGCGAGGCTGGGCAAGACGGGGTGGGTGGTGGTGCCGCAGCCGGCGTCTGCATCCAAGGAGCAGCAGCAGGGCAAGGCCTCCTCGGCGCCCGCACCCAGCAGCAGCCTGGCGCTCAGCCAGCAGCCAGCAGCAACGGCAGACAGCAAGGAGCAGCTGCCACTGGTCAGAGACGAGCTCGATCAGCAGCAGCAGCAGGGGGAGGCAGGCCAGCAGCTGCCGCCGTTTTCCATCAGCCCTCTGGCTGCCATGCATGCCATCCTGTGCCAGACAGCCGGCAGGCTCGCGCTGTTCAGCATTCTGCTGTCAGACGCACGGCAGCTGGAGGGCGGCAGCTGGAAGGGCTGCCTGAAGCTGAGCCGGGCGGCGTCCGGCAGTGGCATCAGGTGGGGATGCCTTGCTTGCTTCTGCCAGGCAGCCAGCAATCAATCTCCTGAGTTCCCACCAGTCGTTTTTTCGGCACATCGTTATGCTATGCACATGTGCCGATGGGTGACCCCTCACTGCTGGCCCGCTGGTCGCTGCTTGCCTGCAGGCTGGCCTACTGGCAGCAGCTGCCGGTTGTCGGCTACTCTGAGCTGCTGTGCCTGCGGGAGGGCCAGCCGTACCAGCTGGAAGCAGGCGGGACCCAGCAGCAGCAGCAGGAGGCGCCGGCGGTGGAGGTTTCGCTGCAGGAAGATGGCAGGCTGGCCGCCGCCAGCAGCCCGCAGCTGCAGCACCCGCAGAGCGGCGAGCACATCCAGCTGCCGCTGCCGCTAGACAGTGCGGCCAGCTTGAGTGCAGACCGGCTGCTGCTGCAGGCCGCGGCCAGCAGCGCGGCGGTGCAGCTGGCAGCGGTGCAGGCGGTGCTGCAGCGTGCCGGCAGGCTGGCGCCAGCTGGCAACCATGCCGAGCTGCTGCTGCTGGGCGCGGCCAGCCCGGCGGCAGGCACGGCAGGGGTGGCCGCGCAGGCGCCGCCGCCCACGTCGCCGCTGCTGCAGCTGTGGAGCGGCGGCAGCCTGCAGCTGAGCCTCACCGTGCAGCTGCGCAGCGGGCGGCTGCTGCTGGCCGCAGGCTCTGCGCTGCTGGAAAGCGAGCAGGGGCCCAGCGCAGCCGCCGCCGTTGCAGCGGCCCAGCAGCAGCTGGATGCAGCGCAGCGAGAGGCGCTCACGCAGCCCCTGCCTCCCGGCAGCAGCCGGGGCATGCTGGGCGCCGCGCTGGCTGCCGAGGCGCTGGGCCGGCTCAGCCTGCAGCTCAGCATGCGGCAGCGCATGGATGCGGCGGCGGCGGATGCGTCCGCGTGCGGCCTGCGGCGCGCCACGCTGCCGGCCCGCCTGCTGCAGCAGCACCTGCGGCAGGTGGCGTTGCTGGTGGAGCCGCCCACCCCCAACACCCTCACGCTGGCGCTCCCTGCCTTCCTGCCGCCCCCAGACATGCAGCAGTGGGCTCGCCAGCAGCAGCAGCAGCCGGGGAGCGGCGGCGCCGGTGCGGCAGGCATCGACGGCGGCGCCACCCGCTGCTTCTTGCTCATCGACTTTGGAGAGGCGGCGGCGGCGGGCGGCACCAACGGCAACGCCGAGCGGCGCGGCGCGCCGCCGCGGCTGCTGCTGGCTGTGTGCAGCTGCACCGGCCGGGGCACCGTCACCCGTGTGCTGCAGCTGTCGGAGCTGCCGCAGGAGCTGCTGCTGCAAGCGCAGCAGGCAGCAGAGGGAGCAGGAGGCGCCCTCGCCGGCAACGCGCCCGCCAGCCGGAAGCGGCGGGCCGACGACGCGGCAGCAGACGGGGAGGGCGAGCAGCCGGCGCCGGCGCCGGCGACGCGCGGCGGCGGCGGCGGCCGGCTGGGCCTGGCCTCGCTGTCATCCTGGTGCCGCCGCCAGGCCAGCTGGGCGGCGCTGCGTGCTCAGATGCTGCTGCTGCCGGTGCAGTACGCTGAGGAGCTCGCCCTGGCGCCAGCGGCGCAGCAGCAGCCAGCGCAGGCGCAGCAGCTGCAGCCGCCGCCGCAGCAGCAGCAGGTCATTCGCCTGCCCAAGGCGCCAGTGCTGGGCGAGCTGGAAAGCTGGGCGGCGGCCCACCTGGCGGCCCAGCACGGCGGCAGCAACGCGCGGGCACCCCCGCCAGCCCGCCGCCCCGTCGCCACCATGCAGCTGGAGGCGGGCGAGGCGGAGGCTGGCGCTGGGAGGTGGCGGGTGGACATAGCATCGGCCTATTTTGGGCACCTGGAGCAGCTGCTGCGCCGGCAGGGCATCGCGCTGGCGCCGCCGCAGCCCGACGCCGCGCACATTGCGGCGCACAGCGGCGGCCTTACCATGCACTACTCCCTGCAGAAAGGCAAGCGGGAAAGAACATTTGAGCAGCGGCGGCGGCAGCAGCAGCAGCAGCGGAGCTCAGCAGGGATTGATGGCGCTTGCCGTGGGATGCGGCGACACCGCTGCCGCCTGCCAGCCGCTTCTGTCCCCTGCTGCCACCCGGGTCGAACCGTGGCTGCTCTGCTGCACCTCCCTCTGCGTCCTGCAGGACACAGCGTGCTGACCGGCGTGACAGACATGGTGCGCGTGGGCATGCTGCACCTCTGCCTCACCCGCCTGGCCGGCTGCATGGCCGTCAACCCCCTGGCCGCCGCCGCCCAGGCACTGGCAGCGGCGGCCGCAGCGGGGCCGCCGCCGGCAGGCGCGGCAGCGGCCGGCGGCGCCAACGGCGGCTTGGCGGCCCCTGGCGGCGGCGTAGGTCTCCTGGGGAGCATGGATTTCCTGGCGAGCGGCGGCATGGACCTTCTGGCAGGCGCCAAGGAGCCGGGCAATGGGGGGCTGCCAAACGGCGTGGCTGCGCCAGGCGGCCAGGGCCCCGCCGGGCCGGCCAGCGGTGGCGAGGCGGCTGAGGGCCTGGTGTGGCCGCTGCCGGGCTGCGGCTCGGTCCGGCTGCAGGCAGCGGGGCTGACGCACGTGGAGCTGCTGGTGGCGCCGCCGCCGGCGCCCAAGGGCCAGCTCGGCGCGGCCGCGCAGCCGCCTCCGCCGCCGGTGCGGGTTACGGTGACGTGGGCAGACACGCTGGCGGGCGCCCCGCGCGCGGCGGGCGGCGGCGGCGGCGGCCTGATGCAGCACATCCGGTGCGGCGTGGCTTGCGAGCCGCCGCTGCCGCCGCCGGTGACCGCGGCACTGGCGCAGCAGCTGGAGGCGGGGCGGGCCGACCTTTTCCTGGATGCCCTCTGCCTGGCCGCCCACTCGGCGGCCGCGGCGGCGGCGCAGCTGACGCCCCAGGCCCAGCGCGCCGCGGGCCTGCTGCCCGGCGCCGTCAAGCTGCTGGGCGCGGGGGGCGAGGCCACCAGCAGCGTCGAGGGCGCGGCAGGCGGCGCGCACAGCTCGGCGCTGCGCCTGCGGGCGCAGGTGCAGCACGGCGAGCACGCGGCCACGCTTTGCCTGAGCTTCCATGCCGTGGGCTACACGCTGCTGCAGCTGCAGCCCGCCCAGACCCACGCTGCCAATGCCGCCGCCGCCAGCTGGATGCCTGCCATGTGGCAGCGCCTGTCGCAGCGCGTCCCATCGTTCGCCCCGCTGGACGCCGGCGGCCTTGCGCCCACCGCCGCCGACGGCGGCGGCAGCAGCGCGCAGCAGGCGGCTGCGGGCGAGGCCCCGCAGAAGCGGCTGGTGCGGCAGGCATGGGTCCACAGGGACGGCCTGGCCGCGGTGCTGGCCGAAATCCTGCACGCAGTGGGCGCCCCCGCTGCTGCCGCCCCCGCCGATGGCACGGCACTTGCATGATTGCAGCACTCATCGACACCCACTACCGCCAATTGTTTCGGCGCGGCGCGCGCCCTCCCTCCCATCACACACTGTTTGCGCCTGTGCAGCCCGCTCCTCTGCCTCTCACTGTTTCCTCTGCTGTCGCTCCCCGGCTTCTGCTCTGGCGCAAGCGCTCGCTTTGCCATCCCAGCCTCTCCTGTCCCATGCTCTTCCGCTCTGTTTGTTTACATCGAGCGCAGGTTCAAACGCTGTAATTTTGAGCCGCATCAGCTGCCATGAGGAGCAAAAGGCAGGGCAGCAGGGCAGCGCGGTCCTGCATACACATCACATTGAATGGCAGGTAAAGAGTGGGTTAGGCAGTGATCTTTGAGGTACTGTGTGAACAAAATGGCAGGGGAAGCCCTACTGGTCAGGGACTGCAAGCGGAATGGCGCAGGCAGGAAGGAATGGACGACCTTAAACAGTGGGAGAACAATGTCATTGGGGCAATAACTAGACAACAAAGTGGTACGGCTAACGACCCCGGGGCATGACGCGCGCCCATCCGGCATCTCAGCCAGGGCGGGTGGGCGGGGAGCGACAGGCGGTGGCGGCCAGGGCGTGGCAGCAAGCACCCATGATGGGCCAGCCCTGGTCCTGGCATCTGGCTCAGGCGGGCGCGGCAGCTGCGGCCGCGGCATCGGATTGCAGCGAAACGAGCTCAAACACGTCGGCGCCCGCGGCGGCGGCGCTACCGCGGCACGTGGAGGCATGCACTGCCGCCGCCTCGCCCTCCCCTGCATCGCTGTCGCCGACGTCGCTGGTGGCGGAGATGGACGCGACGGAGGCGGTGGCGGCAGAGGCGGAGCAGGGATGGGCCGCCGCCGCGGCGGCCCCCGCGGCAGCGTAGAGCGCCGCCAGCTTCTCACCCGCCGCGCCGGCTGCATCCTCGCAGCAGCCGGCTGCGCCCTCGTGGCAGCCGACGACGTTCTCGGCGGCGGTGCTGGATGCCAGGGCATGCAGCTCCACCACCTGCCCCTCCTTGCCCTGGCTGGGCTGGGAGTGGCGGCCGCCAGCGGGACCGTGCGTGTCGCCGCCTGGCCGCTGCCCCTCAAGTGCCTGCAGCCCGCCGCCCACCGCGGCAATCTTGGGCGTCGCAGGGTGCTGCCCCGCCGCCAGCTGCTTCTGTGCCAGGCTGGAGGGCCGCGGCGCCGGCATCCCCGCCGCGCCTGCCGCCGGCGGGGGGGCACCAGCGGCGGGCGCGGCGGGCCCTCGTATCCGTCTGCTGCCTGTCGGGCTGGGCAGCTCCTGTAGCAGCGCCTGCTCCACCGCGGCCAGCGAGGCCCCCAGAGGCACCTCCACAAAAGGGGCATCGGCATCGGCAGCCACGCACGTCAGCGTGGCGCCCGCTGCCGCCGTCAACGCGATGGTCTGCGGCTGGGGCTTGGCTGCCGCCAGGTGCGGCGGCGCGGGCAGCCGCTTGCGCATCTTGATCCACACCGGGTGCCCCAGGAACCACTTGAGCACGGCGCTGGCCATGCAGTTGCAGGCGCCGCTGTCGGTGCGCCGCACCACGGCGTAGCCGGCGCGCTGGTACAGGCGGCACGCCACGCTGTTGTCGGCGGCAACCTGCAGGCACACCAGGGAGCGCGGGAGGCGTGTGGATGGGTGGATGCTTCATGCCTGGCATGCACAGGCAGCAGAGGCTGCCGAGGAAGCTTTCAGGGCAGGGAATGCGGGCGGTAAACAGTCGGCCAGGCCAGGCCGGGCCAGCGCACGCACCCAGAGCGTCATGTCCACGCCATGCGCCGCAACCGCCGCCGTTTCCGTCTCCGCTAGGATGGCGGCGCCCGTGCCCTCCGCCCACTGCATCAGCTTGGCGCCCACGCCCCTGCCCCGCGCCTCGGGGCTGACGGCGATGAAGTCGATCAGGCACTCGTGCTCCTGCGGCGGATCGGTAACAACCGGCGGCACATTGTGAGGGTTGGCACAGGGCATGGAAGCGCTGAGCGCGGCACAGGGCCAGTGCGCCGTTCGCCATGGGTGCACTAATCCAGTGCCTTTGCCTCGGTTCTTGCGGGCCACCTCACCAGCAGCGGCTCGTCCAGGACTTGGTCGTAGCACCAGGAGAGGATGGTGGGGCGGCAGCCCACGCGGCTGGAGTACTCGCTCCAGCTGATGCTGTCGTCCGCCTCATGCTCCAGAGTGAGCACCACCACTCCTAGCAGCCGTCCACCGATGCCATCGCGTGCCAGGCCTGCAAGCAGTGCATTGGGAGCGCAGCAGCGGTTGGCTCGCTCTGGGGAACCGCAGCATGGCGGGGGCGGGAGGCGGCGGCGGGAGGCGCCGGCGCCGGGCGGCACTTGCTGGGCTGCCAACATCCACCCTCTCGGCAATGCGCCACGGCTACTGCGGCCTCTGCGGTGCGTGTACAGGCCCCGGGCGGCTGAGCGCCTGGCGATGATGAAATGGTTTGGACGTGTTGAGCGCCTTGCAGCCGCCCCCACCATTGCCAGCACCTCCACATACGTCTCACCTATCTGCCGCCACCACGACGGCGTGTTGCGCAGGTCCTCAGCCTCGATGGTCGACCACTCCTGCACCGACAGCCCCTGGGACCAGACCTCCTCCGGGAAGCTGGAGCCGCATAGCGCCGCCACTTCGTCGCAATCCTCAGGGCTAGCGCAAACCGTCACAACGACCTCGGTGCTGGACATGGCGTGCGCTGACCTTAGAGCCCACTGTTTTTGAGAGGTTTGAGCTTGAAGCTGCCTAACGACATAAATGCAAGAAGCGAGCGGTTCCAGCCTGTTGGACGCGCATTGGCTTTCCTCCTGCCGCTCGCCCGTTGGCGCCGCATCGGCGCCTGCGCCCTGCTGCCAGACTCCTTGCCCTGCAATCTACTGGTTTCACTAAAGGTTGAATAAAGGTTCTGGGGGCAGATCATAATTTGTTACAGCCCACTGGAGCAGTGAGCAGGGCCTCCTGCGCACAGCAGAAGGCACCGCATCTCGCCAACTTGGCTGTCGCCACCGTAATGCCGTGAAAGAGTAATCTAATACATCTGGTGGTTAGACAAGAATTACATGGCAGCGCTGAGAATAAGCTGAAATGAATTTAAGTTGATTATGAAAGAATTGGGGTCAGGGAGAAGGGCGGGCGCATAGGCGGAAGGCGTCGCCAGATGGAAAGCGAGCGGCTGGAGAGGTGAGCGCAATGCAAAGCTATGGAAACGGCCAATGGGATGCTGCCAGAAAAATGCAAGCAGCAGCCCTTGACGAGCAGGGGGGGTGGCGCAAGCACGCAGGAAGGGAATAGCAAACAAGCACACAGCGGTTGGGTGGGAGCCAAAGTGCAGGGAACCACTATTGTAGGCGTTGCTACAGACATGCATACATGGGGAGCGAGGTGCAGGAAAAAAACTGAAAGCGCAGCAGGGTGCGCACACAATAAACACGTGTGGGGCAGGGGAGGGGTCTCTGGGTTGCTCTAGATTCGCTCAATGTCTCAGCAACCATAGTGGTTGGTGAGCCATACACGGCTTTGGAAGCAGCTGTACAGCTGCACTGGGATACCTGAGGGTTGGGGACAGCCGCTGGAGCTGCTGCCAGGCAGGTGGGAGCCAGCGCTGCTAGCCTTCTGTGGATGGCGCTGGTGCCTGGCGCAGCTCCAGCACCCTCAAGTCGCCGCCGGAAGTGGCTGCGGCCAACAGCGGCGCGCCGCCCAGCCGCGCAGTGGCGGGCTGCCAGCACACCGCGCTGCAAAACTGCCCTGCGGGCGGCTGGGCGTCCAGCGGGGCGCCGCCGCTGCCGCAAGCCGGGCCCGCCCCAGGCCAGCTGAGCGGCGCAAATTGGTGGGAGGCCAGCGGTGCTGACCTGGCATCTGAGTAGGCGTAGCAGGCTGGGGCCTCGCTTCCGCAGGCCACCAGGCCGCCCTCGGGCCTCACAGACAGCCCCACAAAGTTCTTGCTGTTGCGGTGGCCGCGCAGCCGCCTCCCCGGCTGCGCCAGCACCTCTCCGCTGCGCTGCCACGCCTGCTGCGCGGGCGCCGCGGCCTGGCCGGCCTGCTGCTGCGGGCCGGGCAGGTGCCACACGGCCAGGCTGGCATCGGTGGATGCAGAGACCAGGCGGTCTGGCCCCAGCCAGCGCACATACGACACCGCCCGGCCGTGGCCCGCCAGCTGCCACAGCACCTGCCCTGTGCGGCGCAAGTCAAACACGTATGCGCTGTGATCGGCACAGGCCACCGCCGCCAGGTTGCCGTCAAAAGGCGACAGATGGACGCCGGTGGCGGGGGCGCCGGCCGCGAGGCGCAGCGCCGCCAGGCACGCCTGCATGCCGGAGCCGCCCCACAGGCGCACGGTGCCGTCGTCGGAGGCTGAGGCGCACAGGTGGGGGCGCTGCAGGCTGTGGCTCACACTCCACACCCTGCAGGAGGGAGGGTGGTGGTGAAGGGAGCAGGGCAGAAGGGTCGAGGGTGTGCAGGCAGGCAGCAGCCAACAGCAATTCTCCCGTGCGCAAGCAGCAGGCCGTCCAGCAGTGGAGCCCTCACACTCCGTCAGTATACGGCCCTCGCAGCACAGCCCTGCCGCACCTGCCCGCGTGCTCGTCTGCCTCAGCGATGAGGTGGCCCGACTCCATATCCACCTGGCTCACCACGCCATCGTAGTCGGCAACTGCAGCAGAGGAGGCCGGGGTGTGCATGCGTGTGGTGGCGGGGATTGGGACGCATGAGAGGGCAGGGGCGGGCAACACCAGCGCCAGGTGCGGTTGGGATGTGGTGGTGGGTTGATATGTGCATGGAAACGGCTGGACCAGGCGTCGGGAGGCGAGGGGGCAGCAAAGGCCTCGCATGAGGAGGTTCCGGGTCTGTGCTGGGCGTTCGGGCGGCCTCTCACCCGTGACTGCTCCCGGCGCGTCTGGGTTCCAGGCCAGGCTGCTGAGCTTGGAGGCCATACGGTGGCAGCGGATGGGCTGGGTGTAGGCGGGGTCGCCGGGGTGCTGCAGGCAGGAGGCCAGGGAGTAGACGCGGACCTGCGCAGCACAGCAGGCACAGCACAGCACAGCATGGCATGGTGAGCAAAAGAGGAGAGCTGAGGGCATGCAGGTGGTGCCGGCCTGGGCAGCCCGTCAGGCACGAAGACCGGCAGAACCCGGCGTGGCCTGCCAGCTATGCAGGAAGGAGGCACGCCCACCTGCTTGCTGACTCCCGCAGATGCCAGCAGCCAGCCATGCTCTTCAAATTCCAGGGCGCACACCATGTCCTGGCGGTGGTGGTTGGGCTCAGACGGCACAAAGGCCGCCACCTGGTGAAACGCCGCAGGCGAGCGCCAGGCGGCGTGCCAGCCGCCCCGGCTGCCGCCGTCGCCGCCGCTGCTTGCGGTGCCGTCGCCAGCCTCGCCGCCGCCGTCGCTGCTGCTGTCGGTTGCCGTGAGCGCCGCAGGGCTGCTGCTGCTGCCGCGCCAGCGGTCGCTGCCGCCGGCGTCTGTCCTGCCTTGGGTGGCAACCGGCCGGACGCGTCGCCTCAACCCTACCCGCGCCTCTTGCGCCGCCGCTGCTGCTGCTGCTGCTGCTGCTGCTGCCGCTGCCGTTGCTGTTGCCGTAGCTGCTGTGGCTGCTGCCGTGCTGTTGCCAGCGGGCTCCTCTATCAGCAGGGCATGGTCCCACATGCTGCCCTGGCGCAGCGACTGGTCCACGGGAGGCATGTCAGAGGGCCCGGCAAAGGTGCCGCTGGAGACGCGCGACAGCGAGCCAGGCTCCTGCTCGCCCTGGCTGCTGCCCTGGACGGTGCCATCCAGGCTCGACAGGTCGGTGCGCGAGCGCTTGCGCCGCAGCCAGCAGCTGGCGGAGCCGCCGCCGCCGCCGCCTCCCGGTTGGCGCAGCCTCGCCAGGGCTTGGCAGTATGCGCAGTCGCTGCTGTCGCAGCCGGAGGGCGCCGGCGGTCCCTCGGGTCTCCAGCCGCTCAGCGCTTCCTGCAGGAGAGGGTAGGAACGGGCAAGGGTGGATGGATGGCATTCAGCGGGGGCCCCAGGGGCGCTGTGTGCCTGTTGGCGGGAGGCGATGCGGGGCCCAGCGGAACAGTGCGCGACGCCACAAACCGACCACAACCGACCATGCAAGTGCACGTGTGGTGCCAGCCAGGGCATGCGGGGATGGCTGGCAGGCGTCCACTGGCGCCGATGTGGGGCAGGCACACGCCAGCCACAGGTGCAGGCGCCGCCGCCGCCGCACAGCGGGGGGTCGGCACCAGAAACCACCCAGCTATCGGCGCACCCAGACCTCCAACTGGCCATCAGAAGCCTCCCTGGGGCTAGAGCGGCAAACCCCTACGGCCAATTGGCGCGCCACTCACCCGCGCGGCCCATTTCAACGATGAGGCACCAGTGTGTGGGGGTTGGCCTGAACCGTCATTGCGAAGCCCTGCCATTACTACACACATCCAAGTGTGCCCAGATCACCCGGCCAGAGACCTGCGCCTCGCCGGCAGCCGCGCCGTGCCCCTCCGTCCCGTGTGGCGAAAACGCCCACAAACACCACAGGCGCAGCCACGGGAGATCTGTGGGAGACACTGGAGGTGATGTAAACGAGCGACTGGACTCCAAGCGTGGAGCATGAGGTGGGGAGCAAGCGCGCCATGTGGCGGCGGGCCATGTCAGCAAATGCAAAGGCGGGAGATCTCATATTGATCCCCTGGGCTGTCTCCCAATCCTTTGTTACAGCTGAGGATTGACATCGGGGTCCAATTCAAGTGGCGCCACGAGCGGGCGAGCCGCAAACACTACCACCCGCCGCCTCGGCAGGAGCCCGCCGCCCCTGCCGCTGCCTACTTGGCGCCGCCGGTGGGCGCGGGCTTGTAGCGCGACGACAGGCGGTCCTGCGGTCCATACGAGTCCTTGAGCCCCAGCCGGCTGATCAGCACCGCATACTTGTCGAACTTGCTGCGCCGCAGGTACTGCAGCAGCTTGCGCCGCTGGTTCAGCATGGCCTCCAGACCCCTGCACTCGAGAGCGGTGCCGGCAGACACGAGCACGGGGGCACAGTCAGCAAACCCGCAATTTCAGGGCAGCAGGCAGCACATGCTAGGTGCCGGAGCAGTGTGCCTGCAAGAGGAAGACGGGTGGGCGCTAACCCAGCTGGCCAGCCAGGCAGCAGCTGCAGGCAAACAGCGCCAGGCGGGCGCACCTGCGTGAGCTATAGTCCTTGCGGTGCTGCCGCATGTGCTCCGCCATGTCTGCAATCTTCCGGGTCAGCACTCCCACTGCGGGCAGGCACATAGGGAGGAGGCATACACATCACACGGGGTACGGGGTGTGCCGCTGCACAATTCCAGGAACCTGCTGTGGTGCGGCCAGGAGCATGAGGTGCTGACCGATACGTGGAGTTTACCGCTGGCATCCCAGGCTCCTGGCGAAGCCCAACTCGAGGCTGAGGGCTTGCCAGCTCAGTCCCAGTTCCCTTTTGCCTGCTGCCCAGCCAAGCGTGCCACGTGAAGCATCAGGCGCACCTTGCACCTCCGTTGACCCAGTGTCCCCAGGGAAGCGCTCAAACTCTCGCAGCACCTCGCGCCGCTGCAGCTTCTTGTGCTGCTGCCGGTTCATCAGCTCGGGGCTGAGGAGCTGCAGCGCAGGCGGGGAGGGGCAAAGGCCGAACGTCAAGACGCAGCGGCAATGGATCAGCACGCCACCTTCACCGGGCTACCAGCTGTCTGCATGCTGCTGCAACCCCACCTTGTCTACAAGGTACGGCCGGTCAATGGTGGACACCACTGCACAACAGGAGGCAAGCAGTGGGTTGGCAGCTGAACAAAGCAAAAAAACGCTCTGAAGGCAGCGGCGGCAAGGCGGTGGTGGCAGCAACCAGAGCGGGGCGGCCGGCCTTAACGGGGCCTGCGCATCACCCTGATGCCTCATCACGCACCATCTTCTGGCCGCACGGGTTCCCCGGCTGGGAAGAGCCGGCGTTGCGCGCATGCGGTGCTGCTGATTCCCCGCAGCGCCTCCCAGCTGCTGCTGCCGCTGCATGATGTGCTGCATGCCTCCGCCTGCACCAGCAGGCTGCTGGCTAGCCGCTGCACGTTTCTCAACATGGCTGAAAGCTGCAGCAAGGGCTCAATGGAGGCGTGGGTGGACTGAGAATGCAATATACTGGCTCCGCAAGCACACCGATCCCATGGAAGCTCCGTTTGCGCTTCGGGTTTGGGCGGGGGCCGGTTGGAAAGGAGGCGGCGGGTGCAAGCTGCCGCTCAGCGAAGGAGGCATGCCATTTCTGCAAGAAACGCCGCTCATTGTCCGCGCGGTAAGTGCTGTTTAGGCCCCTTCCAGGGCTGTGTAGCTTGGTTCAGCGCGCCAGCGCCACCACCGCCGCCATGACGCCAATGATGATTTTACACAAACGGGTCAAATGGAGACCCAAGCAGTAACGGCAACATGAAATCGGCAGCCCAAGACAAAATAGGTGCTGATGCTCAGGTTACTCTAGATCTGTACATACCACGGCGTGCCAAGCCCATGCTACGTGCCAAACTTTTCCGCCACCTGCTCCGCTTGCTTGTCGTTCTGGTCCAGGCGCAGCGGGTAGTGGCTGACCATGAGCGCCATCAGCGTGACCTTGTGCCCCGCCTGCTTCACGGCGCCCCCCTGCTTGCGCACCGTCACCCGCACACGGCACTGGGCATGCTGGGTGACCTGCGGGACAAAAGGTGGGGTGGCAACAGGATCAGGGACCGCAGGGGTTTTCAATCAGGCTTGCTAGCAGCCAACCGCGGCGGGCTGTTTGCCATGCGTGCCTTGCAGCTGCAGTGGCAGCAGCCTGCCGCCCTCCCAGCCGGGGCTCACCGGGAACCTGTGGATCTGCATCAGCGTGGCCTGCTGCTCCCAGGTGCCGTCCAGCACCGTCTTCTTGCACTGGCACCCAGACACGCAGGCCACCTGCGCGGTGCCCATGCCCTCATACGACTTGAGGTGGGACAGGTACACGGAGGCCCAGGGGTCGCTCCGCTTGAAGCGGGTGGCGTTCACAGCGTCGTCAGAGCGGCTGTCGAAGAGCAACTCAACCATGGCGCCTGCAGGGAGCGGCGGGTGATAGCGAGCGGCGGATGGAGCTGTGGCAGAGGCAGGTGAAGCGCAAGAAGGGGCGCATGTGCCACATGTGGTAGGGGCTTGGCCTGCAGCGCACGTACAGCGGCAGGGCAGCGGGCCCCTGGGTGCCATGCCTGCAGCCCCGCCGGCATGCACGCACACCTGGCTCTTGGGATGTCCACCCCCACTTCTGCCCCACAAACGTCTCCTCCTGCGGCCGCTCCGGCTTGTACTCGAAGCCAGCTGATGCCACCGCCAGCTCTTTAAAGTCCTCCTGCGGAATTGCAGGAGCAGCGGGGCACACAGGTGGAGCTCAGCTCAGGGTCCGCTACTCGGCGCGTGAGCGGGCGGCACCCAGTGGGAAGTGTGAGACCCCCGGCAGCTCAGGCCAGGCTGCACACTCTGGCAGCTCGCCGGCAGCTGACGGGCGCACACACCTGCATGGCGCAGAGCGATGTGGGCACGTCTGCGTTGCCCGGGATCATGGGCGGCGGCAGGCCCCTCAGCCGCGGCGCCGCGTGGCTGTCCGCCCAGCCCCCCGAGAACTGGCAGTTGTCGCCCTGCTCCTCGTCCACCGCCTTGGCCAGCACCGAGCCCAGCAGTTCCGCAATCACTTGGTGGCCCTGGTCGTTGGGGTGCGTCCTGCAGGCGACAGCACGGAGGGTGAGCGGGCACAGGCAGGGTGAGCGCTGCTGGCAAGCCATCAGGGTGGCAGGGAGGCTTGGCAGAAGCGAGCTGCCCAGCGGCTTGGCCAGGCGTGTGCCGTGACTGGCGAGGAATGTCTCGCAGCGGCGGCAGCGGACGCACCTGTCGGCGTACAGATAGAACTGCTTTTCGGCGCCCTCGGCAAAAGGGATCTCGTAGCCGGACGGCGCCTTGTTGTTGATCTGCTTGCCGTTCAGCCCCGTCAGCTTGTCCACCTGTGGTCGAGGAAGGGGCACCAACGCGGTGCCAGGTCAGGATCGACGGCCTGCCCAGCACACGGTCCGGCATGCTGAAAACGGGCGTGCACGCGGCTGCTGCCACTGGCTTGCCTTGAAGCCCGGCACGCCGGCCTGCATCAGCGGGTAGATGGCGGAGCGCATGGATACGGAGGGCACATCGTAGTACTGCAGTGGCAGTGTGTGGGTGTGTGGTGGTGGTGGGCGGGGGGCACGCGAAAGGGTGAGAGGGGGGGGTGGCGGGCGAGGCGTTGGCTCTGGCAGCCTGCATCACTGATTGATTGGAGGTGGCATCCTGCGAGTTGGTGCTGACCGCAGTCGGTGCCTTACCTGCGAGAAGACCGTCAGCTGCGCCTCCGCCTGCGGGAAGTAGAAGAGGCCCTGCTCAACGCCGTCGCCCTCTGAGCGCCACCACGCGTAGTAGTGCAGCTGGATGAGGGCTGGTCTGCAGTGGCAGGGGAAGCAGCCGGAATGTCGGGCCGATGTGAGGATGACAGCATGGGGGCCGTTTTTGAAGCAGTCAAGCCTCAGCAGCGCGCATGGCGGCACGGGCAGGGCCACGCACCTGCCGGGCATGCGCAGCAGCTTGCGGATCAGCTGCTCGTAGCCCATGCGCTGCCTGTCTGTGTACGGCGCCTCTGGGTGCTCGTTGATGGAGAACTCCAGCACCACCAGGTCCACCTCCTGCACGCCAGGCAGGCAGCACAGGGCGGCACGCAGGTGTGGGCCGCGGGTGCGTGTGCGCTGCCGCTAGTGCTTGACAAGCCCTGCCGGCTGCGCTCACACCGACAGCAGCCAGAAGCAGCCCGTCCGCCCGCCGCTCACCGGCTCCACCATCTTCTCCACGCAGGCCGTGAAGATGCCCGAGCTGGTGGCCCCCACGCCCTTGTTCACAAACGTGTGGCCGCTGCACCCGGGGCAAGCGCAGCGTAACAGCAGGGCAATCAGAGGCATGCGTCAACTCAACTGCAAAGATGCAGCAAGCCTCTCGGGCCTTGCAATGCACCAAGCCAGTGCTGTGTGTTCCATGGGCCAGCTGCCTGGCCTGGCTTCCCTGCCTTCCCGCACCCTCCCCATGCAAAGGATCCTGCCCACCGCGACCCACCTGTGCGGGAAGGTGGAATTGATGAGCTGAAACAGGCGGGACGCGTAGCTGCCTGCCGGGGAACTGGAGCCTGACCCTTTCGTCACGCTGCCGCCCAGGGTGAACACCTTGATGGGCCTGCCCGCCAGCAACTTGGCGGCCACCCGCTGCATCCGCCTGCCGCTGCCGTAGTATGCCAGCCCGCGCCGCACCTCGTCCCGGGTCAGCAGAGGCTCCCAGGGGGTGTGCAGATGCCGCACGGGAGGCTCGCCCGCTCTCGACTGTCCAGAGGCAGCCAGCACTGTCGCTGGCGCCCCCGGCTCTAGCGCTGCTGCTGCTACCGCGACCTGCGCTGCTGCCGCCGTTGCCGCTGCGGTGCTGTCTGGTTCTGCCAGCGCTGCCGCGGCTGCCGCCGGCGCCGCCGCAGGCCACTCTCGCAAGCCAGGCACGGGCTGTAGCTTCGCATCCACGGATGCAGGGACCTGCTCCATCAATCCACGGCGCCTGAGGCCGGGGGGAGCCGTTTCCAGGCCTGCAAGCACGTCACCTGCGTGAGTTGCCATCACACATGCGGCAGATGTCATGACATCGCACACCCGCTCACCTTGGAAGATGGCCACAACACGAAGCCCCGACCCTATATTGCTGCTCAGGGAGACGACGCCGACGCCCCACAGGGCTCCAAGCAGGAAGACAGTCGCCGTGGCGGCTTGCGGGTGCAGGCCGCTGGTTAAACCCCTGGCCGCCCTGGGGCTGTCCCAATTGCGACTGGAAGCCCTCCTGATGCCCAGGAATCCAGAAGGCGACCCCGACATGGGGGGAGGCTGAGGTCTCAATGAGCTCAGGGATGCTTTTTGCAGTTTGGCGCTTTGGGGTGCTGGCGGGAGCGAGAGGCCTGCTTAAGAGTGCGGAACCAAACGAGAACGCCCACGTGCGGTGATGCAGATCGCGGCTGACGGAATGGTTGTGCATGCACCATCTGCTCGCAGCTGCCAGCAAGCGGGCGAGGGCAGGATCGTAGCCTAAAGCTCTCCCGCCTCTTGGGTAAATTGTCAACCTTCATCGACCGAGGACACCTGCAGGGCAAACCAGTCCAGAGGCGGCTAGAAAAGCTGTTCAGGCGCCAGCCGCCCACCCGCCGGCGCCCAGAGGGCTGGGCTGCAGCCGCCCGACTGCGCGCCGCCTGCTGCTGTACCACCCGCACAACATCACAAAAGTTTTACGGAGGCAATGAAGTGGAAGAGCCGCTTCTCCCCACTGCCATGATCCTTTTTGGCCGCACGCCGCTAGTTTCCCGCGCCGGCGTTCTCACGTCGCTCCGGGGCAGCAGTACTGTGACCAACAACAACAACAGCTGAGACGCATGGAGGCAGTGGGATCAAACTGGGGCGCTGCAGGCAAACCATCATAATGGCACGGGGGAGAAGCCAGATGGTGGTGGCGGCGGGCCGCCAGCGGGGCGGCGGGTGGAAAGGCATCGGCTGAAGGGTGCAATTTGGGGCCTTTCAGCCTTTGGTATTCTGCACCGTGGCATGTGCGCCTCGGCCCTGCATCTGGGAGGCGCCTTGCTGCGACCGCTGCCCGCGCTGCGTTCGGAACCCACAGCCCCGAGGGCCATCCTAGACTCCCGATCGACTGGACATTCACGATCGGCCGGGCATTCGCGCCGGGCACCACTGGCAGCAGCCGGCGCTGCACCGCACCTCACTGCGGCACCAGCGGCGGTGGCATCGGCATCGGCAGACCCGGCCATGTTGCTGCTGGTGGCAGCGGGTGCAGTGGCAGCATGGGCGGCATGGACCCTGTTCAGGTTCATCAGGTGCGCCATTTGCAACTGGTGCACTGGCCGACTCCGGCTGCCAGCGGTCCAGCAACTGAATCACCGGTCAGCTGCCGTACCCTCGCCAGCGCCCGCCCGCCCTGTTATTCCTGCTGCAGGGCAGACGCCGACCTGACGCTGCTGTCCAAGCGGGCGCCGCCGCCCGGCGCGTGGCGCGGCAAGGTGGTCTGGGTGGTCGGCGCGAGCCAGGTGACTGGTACAGCAGCGCTCCTGGCAGCTGTGTTTGGATGCTACTCACGGGGAATCAGCCGACCAGCGCCTGGTGCCTTCTGCCCTGCCTGTGACTGCCTGCCCTGCAGGGTCTGGGCGAGGCGCTGGCGCGCCACTGGGCCGCCGCAGGCGCCAAGCTCATCCTTTCCTCACGCTCTCTTGAGAAGCTGCAGGCAGGCAGGGGAGGGGAGGGGAGCGGCACACGCAGAACCATAGTGGCCAGCCTCAGCCACGGCCGCGCCATCCAGCCGACTCGCTGCCGGCATGCCGCCTCATGTCTGCTCGCCTGCTGGCCTGGGGTGATGGCATCAGCGGCGGGCGCCGAGTGCAGCCGCTGCTGCCTGGTGCCTGCAGGCTGTGAAGGAGCTGTGCTGCCAGCACATTCGCGAGGAGGATGTGATGCTGCTGCCGCTGGACCTGGTGGGGGGCAGGTGCGGCGCCGCATGCGCCTCTACCCACCGCGCCTGTCGCCGCTGCTGGTGCACCTGCCTGGTACAGGCTTGGCACCAGCCACCAGGCAGGTGGCGCTGCAACCAGGCGTTGTCACTCTGCCCGTGGCCGCCCCCCGCTGCAGCGAGGGCCTGGAGGCTGCGGCGTCCGCGGCGTTTGAGGCCTTTGGTGGCGCGGGCGTCGACTGCCTCGTGCACAATGCAGGCAGGCGCTGAGCGGGCCCTCCATCAGAGGCGCCCCGCCCACAAGCATGCCCCTTCATTGCCACGCCGCTTTGCCTGACTTGAGGCCGACGCTGCCATGTGCCATACCTGCCTGCCTGCTCAGCATCCTCGCTCCGCCGTCGGGCTGTGCCCCTGCAGGCGCCAGCCAGCACGCTGCCGCCGAGGATACGTCTCCCGAGGTGGCGGCCACGCTTCTGAGGCTCAACCTGCAGGGGCCGCTGGCGCTGGCGCGGGCCGTGCTGCCGCACATGGTGGCCCAGCGGCGAGGCCGCCATGTGGTGGTTGCCAGCATGTCGGGTGCGTGGTGGGTGTGCTGACCGGGCTCGCTCTGGCGCATCCCGGCTGCGCTTCAGCGCCTTGGCTGGGCCTCTCGCGCCGCCTGCATGCCCCGCGCCTGCTGCTGCCACGGGCCCCGCAGCCAGCCAGCTTCTTGCCGCTGCCGGACTTGCTGATGCTGTGGTTTCCCTCTGCTGGGCGCCCACGCCCCTGCCTGCAGCTGTGGTGCCGTCCCCGGGGCAGAGCGTATACGCCGCGGCCAAGAGCGGGCTGCGAGCCTACTTTGCTTCCATGGCGTCAGAGCTGTCAGACAGGTGGCCGCTGCAGCACGCCGCTGCCGGTGCAGGCAGTCACTGGCCCTGCCGCTGGTGCAGTGGTGGTTGACTGCGCCGTGGCCCTGCGCCTTGCGTCCTGCGCCGTGCAATTTGCCTGATTGTGTCCCCTGGCTACTCTACTGCCCGCCACGTGCCACATGCGGCGTGCGAGTCTGCCGTGCACCACGGCTGGCTGCAGGGGCGTGGGCGCCACGGTGTGCTGCCCTGGCCCGCTGGCCACCGGCCTGGATGGCAAGCCGCGGGTTGTGTACGGCGCCAGTGGGCTGATCATGCAAGCCAACACAGGCATGAGCAAGAAGCGCGTGAGCGCGGGGCGCGCGGCGGAGCTGATAGCGCGCGCAGCGTACCATGGTCTAGGTGGGCTTTGGCTTGGCTAGCCGGGCGGCTGGCTGGTGAGCCACAGGTGTACCTGTTTGCCGCCTGATCCCGGGGTTGCCCTGCCTGTGTGATACCCCCGCTTGCTCCTCCTCTGCCCTTCCTGCCCCTCCTGCTGCCGCAGACGAGTGCTGGATTGCGTACCACCCGGTGCTGCTGCTGGGGTATCTAATGCAGGTGGGGCCTGCAGGCGGCCGCCAGCGCCTCCTGTGTGTGTTGCATCGCAGCTGGTATCTCAGCGGTACCACCCACCTGTGCTACTTGCTTCCTGCAGTACGCACCCTGGCTGGGCATGAAGGTGCTGAAGAGAGTGGGACCCGCCCGTGCGCGTGCCCTGCGCGCCGGCAAGAGCGGCTATGACATGAGCCTGCTGCAAGAGGGTGGCGAGGAGGGCGGCGCCTCCAAGCCTGCCTGACCTCTGCCAGGCTGACAGGCCCGGCAACACCACGACAACCACGAGTCTGTCAGCTGTGCTGTTGCTTTGCACAGTTTGCTTGTGAAACATTGATGGCCGTCATTTTGCATTCAGGACGGCCCTGTAGCTCTCTCCAGGCTCATTCCACTGCCAGGTTTCTATAGCCATCGTCAGGCCGGATAGGTCACGCCGTTGACGACGGCGCCAGGGTGCGCTCCTGAAGCACCAGCTGCCGCGCCATCTGCACGCCACCCAGGAGGTGGCAGGGGGACTCGGTCAGTCGTGTAGGTCACCCTGGCAGCCGAATCGCAGCTGCTACTAGCAGGCGCTTGAAGCAACAGGAAATCTGCCTGCAGCTGTGCTGTAAACGACTGTCCTGCACACCCCCAGCACCCCAAGCTCACCTGCACCAAGGATATCTGCTGGCTCATGATAAGCACAGAGGGCGAGGTGGGCAGCAGCTCTGGGTCCTCCAGGGTCACAAACCCCATCCGAGCCTGCTTCCGCAGCTGCTCCTGAAGCACAGGCAAGGCAGGGGGAGGTGGCACACTGTGTGAGTGTGTGTGTTTGTGTTGGGTGGCGGTGTCAGGGAGGCGTTAGCGTGGGCAGCGAGGCGGCGTCCCAACGCACGAAGAAAGGATGCAGGGAGCGTGGCATGGGGGGCGCCACACACCACGCGGCATTGGCATGCGCACCGGGGTCTCGCGAGCCAGCACTCCCTCCACAACAGCCTGCTCCGCCTCCTCTCCGCCGGCCGCGCCGCTGCTGCCCGGCCTGCCCGCCTTCTCCTTCTGCTCCTCGTTGTTCAAGGTGTGCAGCACAAAGTCGGCCAGGCCGTAGGCTTCAAGAGTGCTGCCAGCCTCCTCGTCGGCATGCATCTGGGCGGCGCCCGACACCCAGGCCCACCCATCCTGCCTGGTGGCACCTGCAAAGCGGCCGGGCGGGGGAACCGAGCACCAGCCGCAGCGCTGTGACCCTGGCATGTAGCAGGAAAGCCTTGCTGCTGCTGCGGCGGCGGCTGGGAGGTGTGCCGCAGCCCTCTGCCCATCTACCCACCTGCAAATACAACTCCCAGCTGCACCATCGTCATGTAGACCACACTCAGCCAGCGGCCAAACATGGCGGCTGTGACGTTGAAGCTGCCCGGCACGCGGGCCACGTTGATGACCAGGCCGCCGCTCTGCAGGCACAAGGGAGGAAATGAGCGGCAGAGCGAGGCATGCTTGGCTGCACGAGGCGGAAGCAGCGGCTCCCATGCATTCAGATGCAGGAGGAGCAGCAGCTGGTTGGAAGGCGTGGGATTGGGAAGCTTCCAAACACTCCCGAGCTTCCAAAATGCCTGTAGACACACATCTGCAAAAAAACACCAAGCCGTGCCCCCGCTGCCCACCTGAGCAAACTCCTCATCCTGCAGGTGGTCGTACACATCTTCGGCTGCCCAGCCGCGCCTGCATGGCAGACGGCAGGCAGACCAAGCCGCAGTGCCGTCGCCCGCTTCGCACGGGTTGGCAACACTGCATCCACCATCCTGAGCATCCACTCACTCATAGCACTCCATGCACTGTGAGACAAAATCCCATGCCGGGTACAGCCAGCCCTGGGAAGCTCCCATGAAGCTGATCAGGAGCCGTACCGCCGAGGCCCGCTGCTGCTCCGCCTCGGTGCATCTACTCATAGCCGCTGCACACATCCAAGTCAACCACAAGCAGCGGTCAGCAGCTGGCAGTGCTGCCGGTGGCGACAAAGTCCAGCGTGCAATCTGGAGGTGCCGGCTGGCCGAGAGGCCCTCACCTGAATCGCACGCCAGCACAAAACCGGGGACCCAATGCTGGCATGGCACGTGCTGCTGCTGCTGCTGCTGCTGCTGCTGCTGCTCAATGCTGCTGCTCTGTGCTGCCGGCTGCGATTCCGCTGGCTCCTCGCCCTCCTGCAGCGGAGAGGAGGGCGACGGCGCCTGCCGCAGGGATACTACTGTTGGCAGCCCCATGCCCCGCACGACCTCCAGCGCGATGATAGCTGCAGGCGCAGGGGGTAGAGGGCGCCGATATGAGTCTGGCGGGACAAACACCAGTATGGTGCCAGGACTAAAGATTGTTAGTCTCACTCCTGCATTTGCAATCCACCCCCCCTTCCTCACCTAGCCGCGTGTTCTGCTGCAGCATGAACACGCCGGGAGACGGACCTCCCCCGTCTCCCTCCATCTTGGCTGCAGCATCATGTGGCAAGGATGGAAGCGGCAAGCCCAGCTTGCTCAGAACCAGCATCAAGTCAGGTCGAAGCCCATAGGAGCAACGGTGCAAGGCAAGCAGGGCGAACTTGCATGCCCACCTGCCATGCTCTGCTGCAGCTGCAGGCGGAACAGGTCTGTTCCTGCAAGGAACTGGTCTACCGACACACGCACCATGCCCTGCACACACACAGCAGGCGGCAGCAGCGGCACCGCCAGGAGGTGCATCATAGCTGGGAGAGGGGCAGGCACCCGGCAGCAGCGGCGGTACACCTGGGAGCTGCGTCGACAGAAGGCTCATGGCGGGCAGAGGCACAGCAGCGCAGGTGGAGGAGGCAGAGGCCGCTCACCCGCAGCCCAGCAATCATGCCGCCCTCATCATCTGCCGGGTTTTGCCGGCCTTGCTGCTTCATGCGCTCCTCGCCCTGCTGGCCCAGATCCACAACCAGCACAGGGGAGCAGGGGGCACATGGGTCAGTGCCTGCACTGCATCTGGGCCTGCTGCCAGCGAAGCAGCGCTGCGGCACTGCTCTCTCCGGCTGCCTGCCTCTGGCAGCCCCTGAGAGCGCACGCACCTCAGGGTTGAGCGGCACCCCCACCGCCTGCAGGGCTATCATGATGACAGCCACCCAGCTCAGCAGAATGTCCTGCGGGTGTGGTTGTTGGGGTGCATTGGCGGGGGCATCACAAGATCCTGGAGCTGTGTTGTTGTGTGTGAATACTCATGCAAAGCCTGCCTACACGTGCAAGCAGGCGGGATGGGCGTCCCTCCGCAACCTAACCCACCTCATCCATTGGTTTCAGCAGCTGCCCGCCATGCTGCAGGCTGGCCAGCGACAGCATGACCTTGGCATCATCCAGCGTCACCCCTTCCCGGTACATCTCCACCACCACCTCCACGAGGCACTTGGCTGCGGGTGTGGCGGGCAGGCACGCAGGGTCGGTCGGGGAAGGGGCAAGCACACAGGCACAAGGGCTCGGCAGACCCTCCTCCTGGGCTGGCAGCGGCAGGCAAGGCTGAGGGACTCAAGACACACCTGCAAACAGGCTTCGGTTGAGGGAGGCCAGGTAGGCGAGGATGAGGGCCCGCACCCAGCGCCGCTCCTCCACATCGTCCTGCGCCTACATGGGAAGGGTGGAGGGTGGCACTGCCAAGGCTGTGGGCAGCGAAGCGGACCGCAAGGGACCGCTCGTCGGGAGGGAGAATGTGCATAGCTGCAGGGGAGCCGCCTACAGCAAACACCGGTAGTGGCTGGCTGCTTGCCTCGTCCAGCTTTCCCTTGGCGGTGGCGGTCAGCCTGCCGCAACGGCGACAGGGCATGGCCGGTTGCCGCCGCCTGCGGTGGCCCATCGGCTGCACCCTGCGCTGCGTGGGCGATCCCCTGATCGCCTTGTGCTGGGCAGCGACTGTAAGCGCCGGCAACAGCCGGCAAGAGCCTGCAATCAGCGTGGTGGAAGCAGCAGCCGAGCACCCCATCGCTAACCAAATCGCTTTGAGTGGTACAAGCTGATCGGTGGTGCCGCAGCCCCCCCCCCGATGCTCCTTTCGTCGTCCAGGCTGAGCTGGCGGCCAGCAAGGATGAAAAAGGAGCATGCCTGCCCCGCCGAGTGTGTGCACACCCAGCCACAATGGCTTCCCTTTCGGCCTCCCGCTGGCAGCGCCTGCCGGCCCACATGCCGTCCGCGCAGAGGAGGCAGCACCACCGCAGACCGCCCTGCAGGTCCCTGTTTGATGGCACCGAGAGTAGCAGCAGCCACAGCAGCAGCCACGACAGCAGCCGCAGCGGCAACGGCGCCAGCCCGCCGCACGATGGGCGGCCACAGCACACGTCTATCACCCACCCGGTGCCCCTGTTTCCCGAGCCCCAGCCATCGATGAGGGGACCGCTGCTAGTGGAAACGCAGCCTGGCATACCCACCTTTCAGCCCTTCATCGCCGACACACCCTGCCCTCATTGTGGCGGTCGCGGCAAGGTCACGTGTGGGGACTGCAGGTTGGTTGCGGCTCGCCGGTTGCTGAGCCAAAATTTAAGGGCGGCCCTTGCAGCCCATGTGCCTGCCTGGGTTGCAGCATCTGCCACGCACGCTGCTGCTTATCTGTCGCCCTGCCTGCTGCGCAGAGGCAAGGGCCGACTCAACTACCGAGCCACGGCGATGCTGCCGCAAGGCGTGTGGCCCCAGTGGTGAGGCACAGCCTGCCCTGCTGGCTGGGGATGCCGGGTTTTCCTCGTTCAGCGGTATCGTGCCTGGATTGGTATTGCTGGCTCATGTTAGCCTCCCCAGCGGCACTGCCTGCTGATCAGCGGTGAGCTGCGCATGGCAGCTAAGGATGCCTGCTCCCCCGCCCCAACCGCATCTCAACTGCATCTCACGCAGGTGCCCCAGCTGCCGTGCCAGCGGGAGGTGGTGCTGCCCGCGATGCATGGGCACGGGGGTCAGGCGACAGCCCATCGGCTTCCGAATTCTGGAGGAGGAGCAGTGAGGCGCTAGCCGTGTGCACAACCACCGCAGCATCTGTAAAACCGTGCCTGGACCAGGGAAGCGGTGTTGGGGGGCTGGTGGGGTGCAGAGGAGGTAGTCCCAAGAGGGTAACGCCCCCTCCGCCCAAAGAGGGTATAACGCCCCCTCCCGCCCTCAGCGTACTGAGCACGCCCTGGGGCAACTGCCTCCACCCAACGGCGCAGCCTGCATACTTGCATCACATACCACGCTGCTAGCCTCACCGCCGTGGGGGAGCGCTTTCAAAGGCGCCCCTGGTTTCGGAGACGACACTTGCCCAGGCCGCCCGGCAAGACCTGCAGACACCACCATGGCCCCTGAGCCCACCCAGGAGGGCTGGGCACCTGAGCACGATGTCATGGAGCGGGCGGCGACACACACCGCTGCGTTTGGGACCAGCAGGAGCCTGGGCCGGCGGAGCATAAACTTCGATTTTGCCTTTGGAGGAGTGACGGGGGGCCTCGCTGGAGGTCATCTTATGGGAGAAGCAGGAGCCGGAGGCAGTTTCACCCAGGTGAGATGGGCGGCGGCGGCGGCGGCGGTGGCGGTGGCGGCAACAAGCGGAGTTTGAAGCAGGCAGCGGGGCGGCGCTGTTGTTGCCTCCAGTCTGCTGCTGGCCCCTCCCTACCTGCAGATCAAGCGCGCCATAAAGCAGCGGTACGCGGCCGACACGCGGCAGCAGGTCGAGGACATGGAGGAGCGCGCCAGCCGGCGGCTCAGCTCGGCTGTGGAGATGGCGCTGGAGGAGCCCATCCCCGAGGAGCCAACCCTGGCCGAGGAGGTGCGCCTGGCCGGCTGTGTCGGCTGGCAGCCAAACAGTTGGCAGCGGATCGGCCGCAGAATGGCCGCACCTGGCCGGCCCGCCGCCGCGCCGCCGCCCATGCGGCGTGCTTTGCCAGACGCGCCCGCCGCCGCCTGGCGTGGCACGCAGGTGGCCAAGCTGCCGCCCTGGCGCTCCACGATCACGCCGCGGGCCCTGCTCATCGGCGCCGTGCTGGGGGCCGCCTTCTCCATCATCTCCCTCAAGCTGGGCCTCACCACGGGCGTGATCCCCTCGCTGAACATCGCCGCCGGCCTGCTGGGATACTTCTTCCTGGGCGGCCTGTCCAAGTTCCTGGCGGCGCTGAAGATCGGCGGGCAGCCCATGACCAGGCAGGAGGTGACGGTCATCCAGACCTGCACCGTGGCGTGCTACGGCATGGCCTTCAACGGAGGGTTCGGAACCTGTGAGTGCGGGGGCCGTGCGCGGCGACGGCGGCGGCGACGGCGGCGCGCTCGCCCCTGCTCGCCGGCGGGACCCTGCTCGCATTCGGCGCCACATGCTGAGCCTGTGGGGCTGCGTTGAGGGGGATCTGAGGCCTGTGCATGCAGTCGTGCTGGCTATGGACCAGCAGTCGTATGAGAATGTGGGGGACGTGGAGGGCAACCGCCCGCAGGCAAGCTAGCTGGCATGTGCTGGGGCGTGCGCCGCGAGTGCACGCTGCCATCACGGGTGCCCTGCAAGCGGGCAGCGCCCTGGGCCACCACCTCTCAAATCTAGTTCCCCCAGCTGCTGCTTGCACCTCTGCGCCAGACTGAATGGCTGGGTGTGCGTCTCCAGTTCGGTGTGCGCCTGTGATGCCGCTTCCTGGCTGCCCTTCTGCCCCCCCTCGCTCCTCTGCAGGATGTGGTTGTGCCCAGCCTGGGCCGCCTCATTCCCTACATGGTGAGCGCCTGGCTGCAGCCCTCGTGCTCGGTGTAGGCAGCTGTCAGCGGGAGGCGAGCGCGCTGCGTGAGGCCTGCCCACCCATCCCTCCCCCGCCGCAGTTCTGCCTGGCCCTGTTTGGCATCTTCATGCTGGTGGGCCTGCGCAAGCAGCTGATCCTGAAGTACCAGCTGCCGTATCCCAGCGGTACCGCTACGGGCCTGATGATCAACTCGTTCTTCACTGCTGATGGCGGCGCCGCCGCCAAGCGCCAGCTCAGCAGCATGGGCAAATGGTTCTCCTTCTCCTTCCTCTTCAGTGAGCCGGTTGGGCGGGGGCCTGCGGCTGCGCAGCGCCTGGCCCAGCCTGTGTGTGACGCCTGGTCTAGCCTGTGTGTGACGCAATGCCTGCCCATGCCCTGCGCTGCCCCGCAGGCTTCTGGAAGTGGTTCTTCACGGGCAACGGCGACTGCGGCACCGTGTCGGGCGGCTTTGGCGTGTTCCCCACCTTTGGCCTTCAGGCCCTGGACTGGACTTGGAACTTCGACTTTAGCCAAGTGAGCGCTGTGCGTTGCAGAAAGAACAAGGGCCCTCCCCGGGGCACCCCACGCACCAGCTGACTCTGCGCCAGCTGACGTGGCACCCCCGCTCCCCGCGCCGCCCCGTCCAGAACTATGTGGGCGTGGGCATGCTGTGCCCCCAGATCGTGTCCTGGAGCATCCTGTTTGGGGCCATCATCTCCTGGGGCCTCATGTGGCCGCTGATCAGCGAGCAGGAGGGCAACTGGTACCCGGCGGGCCTCTCCAGCACAGACTTCCGCGGCCTGTACGCGTACAAAGGTGGGCGGGCACCCCCCAGGGAGTTGTGGTGTGCATGTTTCTGTGTCTGTGGGGGACAGGAGTGGCGGGGTTGGATGGTCAGGGCGGTGAACTGGAGGGGGGCTGGCGCCAGCGAGCGCGCATGGTGGGGGCATGGGCATGGGCGGCGTGGGCCGCGGCGGGTACCCAGCTGCTCCGCGTCCCGCCGCTCACCCCCATCCCTTGCCCCGCCTTGCCCCGACAGTGTTCATCGCCATCGCGGTGTTCATCGCGGACGGCGTCTACATCTGCATCAAGCTGGGCATCCTGAGCTACATCAGCGTGAAGAAGCGGCGGCAGGCCGAGCGCGCCGCCGCGGAGCAGGTGGCCGAGATCGAGCGGCGGCTCAGCAGTGTCACGGCCGCCGCGCCGCCGCCCGCTGGCGTGCGCCCGCCTGGTGCCGGGCCCGCTGCTGGCCAGGGGGAGGGCAAGGGGAAGGACTTGGTGGGGGAGGATGGGGAGGAGGAGGAGGACGGCGGGCACAAGCTGATGGCGGGGGAGAGCGAGTTTGAGCGCGCGCTCAGGCGCCACGTGTTTGTCAAGGACGAAATCCCCTGGTGAGCGCATGGCACGCCTGCTGCGCCTGGCACGCGCTCCGCGTGTGTGTGTGTTTGGTGGTGATGCGGGCTGGTGGGAGGAGGGAGACGAGGGCCGGGTGGTGCCTGCGTGGTACCGTGCAAGTGTGGTGCTCCGGCAAGTGGCACCTGGGCTGCTCCTGCTGCTGCCGCTGGCCAAGCCGCCCCTTCATCTTCTGCTGCGTGCAGGTGGGTGGGCCTGGCTGGGTATGGTGCCATGCTGGCGGTGGCGGTGGGCGTCATTCCCGAGCTGGTAGGCGCTGCCTGAGAGCGGGGCGGCCAGCCCCTGCAGCCGTTCCTGCCGCTGGTGCGGTCTTGCCCTTTGGGCCAGCGGCCTTACCAGCAGGCACAGGCCCAGCTGCCTTCCACTTCATCCAGTTCCCTTCCATTCGGTTCCACTGCTCATGCCTTGCCCGGCCCCTGCGCCGCTGCCTCGCTGCAGTACGCCCCAGCCAAGTGGTACTACGTGCTCGTGGCCGGCTTCCTTGCCGCCCCGCTGGCCTTTGCCAACGCCTATGGCGCAGGGCTGAGTGAGCAACACGCAGCAGGCAGCAGGCTCGGGCGCCGCGCAAGTGGTGCTGCATGGGAGCGTGCCAGCAATGCTTCAGCGCCCTCGCTGGCCGCTCCGCTGCTTCCTGACTCGCGTCCACCGCTCTCCTCTGCCCGGCGCAGCCGATTGGAACATGGCAAGCCTGTATGGCAAGCTCGCCATCTTCTTGTTTGCCGCCTGGGCGGGCCTGGATGCCGGCGGCGTCATCACGGGCCTCGCCGTCTGCGGCGTCATGTTTGCATCGGTGGGAGCAGCCTCGGACCTGATGCAGGACTTCAGGACCGGGTGGGCTGGCTGGCGCGTGTGTGGCGCCCTGGGCCGGCTGCGTGCCGTACCTGCAGCTGCAGCCCGGGCTGCTGCGCCTCTCAGAGGCCGGGCCTCTCCCTGCTGCTGCCCACTCGGCCACCGCTCAGCGCCCTGCATGACTGCTCCCTGCTGCACGCCCGCAGATACCTGACGCTGTCCTCGCCCCGCGCCATGTTTACTGCCCAGCTGGTGGGAGCGGTGATGGGCTGCGTCATCGCTCCTCTATGATAAGTGCAGGCGCCTGCACAGCGTGCGGGGCATGGGGCGGGGGGCCCGACCCGGGTACATGATGCGGCAGGGCGGCACAGGCTGGCTGAAGTGGCAAAGTGGTGCATGCTCTGTCCCGTCCCGCCCCCGATCTGATGGTGGGTACTCTCTCCTGCCCCCCCCCACATGCTGCTGTGTGCACCTTCTGGTTGTTCTGGAGCGCCTTTCCCATCGGCGTGCCTGGGAGTCAGTACCCTGCGCCATGTGAGTGGCCCATGGGCTGCCGCCGACTGCCCACCTGCAAGCATGAGCATGCCTGCTGCATAAGGACTGCGCCACAATGAGCGGCGCAGGTTTGACCTGAGAAATAAATCTCAAAGACGTACTAATGTTTCCCTGCCCCTATCTTGTTTCAGACGGCACCATCTACCGCGGCATGGCAATCGTGGGAGTGGAGGGCGTCAGCGTTCTACCCACAAACTGCTTGGCCCTGTGCGGCGGCTTTGCCGGCATCGCCATCGTCTTTGACCTGATGCGCGACTTCCTGCCTCACAAGTACGGCCGCCTCGTTCCGCTTCCTATGTGCATGGCGCTGCCCTTTTACCTTGGCGCCTGGCTCGCGGTGGACATGATCATAGGAGGTGAGAATTGTGTGTGCGACTGCTTGGAGGAGAAGGGCAATGGTGTGTGGTGTTGCACAGGGGTGCGCGCGCGCTCGCTGCCCCTGGCCCTGCTCCCGTGCAGCCACGGTCGCTGCTGAGCGATGCCTGGCTGTCACCCCGCTCCGGGCCCCGCGCCCCTTGCAGCCATCATCATGCTGGTGTGGCAGTGGGCCAACGCCGCCGAGTGCCAGCTGCTGTCGGCCGCGGTGGCGTCGGGGCTGATTGCGGGCGACGGCATCTGGACCATCCCCGCCGCCATCCTGGCCATTGCCAACGTCAACCCGCCCATGTGCATGGGCTTTGCGCCCAATGGCTGGACGGCCTCCAGCCCGTGAGCGGTAACCAGGAAGCCATGCCTGCGTGCCCCTCCGTGTGTGGGCACAGGCCCACCCGCCAGCCTGAGAGCAGCTGAGCAGCTGGAGCAGGGACGTCTCCTCACCCGCTGCATTAGGGCCCGCCCTCTCCGACGCTCAACAAAGTGAAGGAAATCTACTATACCTGGTCTTGCTGTCCCCTGCATTGCATTTTTTCTGATTGGAGGAACAACACACACACACACACAGTCCATGAACAGACTATGCACTGCCTTCTTCGTGTGCCATCCTGGGTTTGTAACATCAGCCGACACGCTGGCAAGAAAAAAAATCGACTGGTGTGAGCTCTTTGAACTAGGTGCAAAACGGGTGGACAGGTGGCAAGGATGTGGCATCGGCGCCTTGCAGGCATCGGTACAAGGGCAGCATCAGACATGGTACAACCAGACAGCAGGCTGGCGCAAGTGCAACAGAAAGCGCAGGTTGGGTGCGCTGCAGTAAAATTGGTCTCAGGAAGGAAGGAATGAGATTTCATCAGCTTTAGGGAGACAGCTGAACCACAGGATCGACTCAAAAGTAGAGCTCACAAGTGGTGAATTGCCGAAAAAAAGAAAGCTGCTACCGAAGGCTTGCAACAGCTGAGGAAAGCAATGAATGTCAACTGATTTCAAGCTCCCCCAAGATTTGGTACACTGGGAATCTGATTTGGGTCTGCCAAGAGAAGAAGGGTGAAGGGCAACAGGCACATGGTGCTGCAACTTGTGCCAACTCATTCCACGACAATCATAAACAGTGAAGCAGCCACAGCTTCAATGATGAGATAGTGCGCCAGACTGTCATTGCCGGGAGCGGGCTTGTGGTGGGCAATGTGTGGTGCAAAATGGCGGCGCGGGCCCAAAGGTTCCGGCCGGCCTGTTTTGTCTTCGTGTGAGAGCGGGGAGCCTCGTGAGAGCGCTGGGGTGACTGCCGAGGGCTGGTCGCAGCGGCAGGATCCTTCTCCTTCGGGCGGGGCTGGGGCGGCGGGCGCCTGCTACACAGGGGCGCTCCAGCACAAAGGGAGAGAAAAGATGCCGAGACCAGGCAAGAGCGCTGCTTATATAGTCTGGCGGTCACTCAGCTGTCAGGAAAATATCGAACAGATGAGGGGAAAGCTTCCATCGAATCGGTGGAAAATATCCACCTGCAGATGGGAAAAATGCAAACATACGAATACGAAAGGGGCAGCTGGTTGGAAGGTGGCAGCAGCTGGGAAGCTGCTGCATCTGTCGATTGCGAATTCAAGCATTTGGAAATGCAAAAATCAAGGGAGATTTTGTGTGGCAGAACTCATTGTGCTGTCACACAATGTTACTGTTGAGCATGGCGAGCAGGACCAGGGAGCCAGAGGTGCCGAGCGCTAGCAGGCCGCCCTGCAGAAAGGTGACGACAGCAGGGTGCGCTGCCAGGCCGGGGGCGCTGTCTGCGGAGAGACCCAGCAGCTCCAACCAGGCCGCCCCCACCTACATCACATTGCCAGGCAGGAATGACAGGCATGCTGTGTGCATTCCAAAGGTCCCTTTAACTCCTCGACAGCTTGTGAGGAGCTTGCTGACCCGGCGCCCGGGCCCAACCAATCCTGCATCCCGGAATGTGCTAGCCCTGCTCACCTGCAGCACCAGGCCGGCCTCCTTAACGAAGAAAGTGCCATGGTAGGCCAGGGTGGCAGCCCACACCAGCGGCACCTGCATTGATGATGGGCAGCGCGGGCACACATGACCAGCCAATCAGGCAAGCACGTGTGGCCTGCCCATCGCGGGCAGCAAGCTGTGGTACACCAAACATTCCACGAGGCCACAAAGCAGTGCTGCTCAGCTGCCGCTGGCACACGACTCACGTAGGCGTAGGCGAGGGTGAGGAAGGAGGCCGAGCTGCGCATGATGGTCGGGCCCAGGGTGGCGTGGTAGGCAGGGGACGGAGACAGCTGGCTGCCAGTCATGCCGCTGGCCCCGCTGCCCAAGGCCCAGCCAACATTGACTGCTGTGTGGGCTGCCCAGAGGAGCAGGCCTGGCACTGACAGGGCTGCCAGCGCCACGCCGCAGAAGGTGAGCTGGCTGTCCAGCAGGGAGGGGTCGATGTGCAGCAGCGACAGCACGTGTGGCATGCGGTGCAGGTAGACCGCTCCCAGCAGCAGGAACAGCAGGCTGGCCTCGCCGGCGCTCTGGATGTGGGTGGTCCACAGGTCGATGCCAGGAGGCCGCAGGCGCAGCTCGACATTGTCGTGCGGGCACATGGCAACGCTGCAATGGGGCCAGGCAGGTGCAGCAGCAGGGGCAGGCTTGGGGCTTCCAGAACACAATGCGGCGGGCTCCCTGCCAGACGTAAGCCTGGCTCAGCTGGCAATGCCAGGGCACAAATGCCTACGCACCAACCCAGGCAGCTCACCAGGTGGTGCACATGGTGCACACCGCATTGTCCTTCAAGGAGTTGGAGTGGGAGGCCATGGGGCAGCCGGGCGGCACCGCGCTGTGCCTGCTCTCGTCCGGGGGTGCGCCTTTGAGGCAGTAGTAGCTCGTGCACTCGGCTGCAGGACGATGGGGGCAGCAGGCGTGGCAGACCGTCAGGCAAGGTGGCTCACAAGGTGGCGGCAGGGAGGCAGTACAGCAGGGGAGGCCAGAAGGCACCTACTCCTGAGTGCCGCACAGAGAAGTGCCCACCTGAGCAGACACCCTGGTTAGAGCACAGCTCCGTTGCAGACAGCTTGGCGAACAGGCCCTGCACAGGCACGGTGGCACAGCGGCAGCATGGGTGGTGGATGGAGGATGGGGCAGGGCGCACACTCACACATCCGCCTTACGTTCATGCCGCCGATGGGGCACAGCCAGCGGCACCAGAAGCGGCGAGGGAAGATCAAGCCGCTGATGACGGCACCTGCAGACCGTAGAGAGGGGAGGTTTCAGTGCCGGCCAGGCCGAGTGGAGCGAGCATCAGAAGCAGGCGAGATCAAAAGGCTGGGAGCGCTGGCAGCCGTCGACGAGAGCAACAGGGATGCCCCTTGCCCACCTGCCGTGATGAGGGCCAGTAGCGAGCCAGTGAGGTAGGCATTGTCGTTGAGCTCCCACACATCCTCCCAAACGAGGATGCCGGAAAACAGGGCCAGCATGAGCCAGGGGCCCCACTTCTCGGCAGCCTGCTTGGGCCACTTGGCAAAGGAGACGTCGGGCCACAGCGAGGAGCGCCACTCCTGCACAAGCTCCCCAGTCACCATGAAGGGGCAGACTGCATGGCGTGGCAGGGAGGCAGTGGGCAAGGCAACAGGTGAGAGGGACACTGATGGCAGCTGGCAGTGAGGCAGCGAGGCATGCGGCAGTACGGGGCGCACCTGAGCACCACCAACGCCCCAGCAGCGGGTAGAGCAGGAACATAGATGGCCACCACCAGCACCACACAGCGCTGAGGCCCAGGTTGTGGGCGCGGTCCTGCGGCCCGAAGAACAGCAGGGCCAGCAGCAGGGGGTAGCCGTAGGGCTTGACGATGCGGTTGAAGCCGACAGGGAAGGCGCCAGAGCGCAGCAGCTCTCGGATGGCGGGGAAGGTGTCCAGCAGGTTGATGCGGTGGCGGTCCTTCTCCTGCGGCGCAGAGCAGAGCAGCAGGAGGAGGGTACTCACCACTTTTTAACAGCCAGGACGCAAGCCGCTTGGGGAGCTTGTAGCAGCGGCTGCCTTGGTGAGCGCAGCAGACAGGCAGCAACCAAGTCAGATCGCCTCACACCTCTGTGGCGTGCCAGAAGTCGGCCTCACAGAGCTCCAGCTCCTCGCCCTCCTCCCCAGCGCATGCATTCAGTGCTGCACTCCCGCATCCGCAGCCACCATCCCAGCAGCCGCCAGAGTCTGGCCCACAGGCGGCGCACGCCGACTGGCTGCCGCTAAAGTCCACAGAGCAGCCGCTGCAGCCGCTGCTAACACTGCTGCTAGGGGCGGGCGGGGGGTCAGGCAGCGACAGGCCTGCCATCACCGCGGCAGTGGCAAGCTCCAGCTGTGCTACCTTGGCCTGTATGGCCACTCGTTCCACAATGGTGCGCAGCTCGTCCAGATTAAGTGGAAAGCTGTAGCTGGTCAGGTGCCTGTGGACAGGGGAGAAGGGGCAGGGAGGTCCATGCGGTAGAAAGCAAGAGGAGTGGCAGGGGTGTAGGTTGGGGAGCTGGCCGGCATCTCTGCCAGCTGGCCCAGGTCTGCTCACGCGGCCTATCATAGTGGGGCGACTGTAACACAGGAGGCCAGGCCCACCTCAGCGCCGGCGCATCCATGGTGAGCCCCTTGATGCCGGCGCGTGTGGCGTGCAGCTGCAGGTAGTGCGCTGCTAGCTCTTTCACGTCGGCGGGACGGGCCCGCAGCGGCGGCACCTGCGGGAGCGAAGGGAAGATCAGCACAAAACTCTGAAGCAGTGTTGAGGAGCAGGGTGATGGCTGCCCACCTTGATCATCGTAGATGCCTGCTGCAGGTCAGCCATGGGCTGCGCAGAAGTGGCGACGATGCGCACACTGCTGGGGCGGCTCCCCGGCAGCAGCAGGCCCTGCAGCCTGCGACGAAGTGGTCCCTCTGGCACCTGTGCAGCGCACAGCGGCAGTTGTACAAAGGTTAGTGACTCGCCTGTTGGACAGGCCCAGGAGGTGGCTGGCTCAGAAGCCCGCATGCGTTAACAGCCCTACAGCCATATGGCGGCCCTCCCTGCTCACCACGTGCACGTTGTTCAGCAGCAGCGTGCCACCCGTCTGCTGCAGGCTCTCCAGCAGGCCGCTGCTGCCATTGGAGCCAAACAGCACCGCAGCGGGGTCCCGGGTGGCTTCAAAATCGACCTTCACCAGCGGCAGGTGGCTGTCGGCGCTGGTGTAGTGGACCAGGGCGCCGATGTGGCTCTTCTTCAGCCCCGCCTCGCCCAGCACAAACACGGGGTGCCTGCAGGGATGCAGGGCATCAGGGGATCGATACAGGCTGAGGCAGGATGGCACGCGAGGCTTCAGCAGCAGAGGGTGAGGCAGAGGTTCTGGCATTACGAAGGCGCTGTCTGTCTGTCTGTCTGTTACACCCATAAGGAGCAAATGAATGCTACGGGCCCAGCTGTGGTGCCAAACAGCTGGAAAAGTATGCACCAACACAAAACACATGAGGGAAGAGATTCAGGTATGGGGGGTAGAGCTGTACACAACATTGCAGCAAATACAAAACCCACCCAAAATTATAAGCTGCATGCCCCAAGCAATACACACGGTGGGCATCTGCATAAAGATAGCAAGAGGCATTTAATGAAGCGCCGGATAAGCTCAACCCCGGGCCAGCCGAGCCGACCGCCTGGGCAGGGCCGTCAAGACGTGCCCGGGGGCCACCTCGACTGGGGATGGGGCACGAGATGAGGGTGTGGAGGTGGCGGCCTCCGCCTGGTGCCTCGCCGCCGTCTCCCGCCGCTGGCGTCGCCGCCGCGCAGTTGAGGATTCGGGCCGCTCGTCTGCCGCAGGCGACTTGGGGTTAGGCGGGGCAGCAGGCGTGGCCGCCGCTAAAGGAACCACGGCACTGGCCAAGGGCGGCCACTGTGCCGCCGGTGGTGAGGGCGGTGACACGGTGGGGGCCGGCTGCTGCGGGTGGGGGGCCGCGGCAGGGGTGGCGTGCGCACGTGGTGGCTGCTCGCCGCCGCCGTCAGGCGGCGGCGGTGGCTGCTGCTGCTGCTGCTCCCTCCTGCCGCCGTCGGGCGGCGGTGGTGGTTGCTGCTGCTGCTGCTGCACCGTGCCGCCGGCAAGCGGTGGCGGCGGCGGCTGCTCGCCGCGCCTCCGTGCTGCCGCGTAGCGGCTGCGGCGGGCGAT